TTCCCCTGTCCCATATACATGCAACAGCTTAGAACACATTTTTCCTCAGTGGAAATGAGGCTCCTACTGTATGTTCTATACACGACTGGAACATGGACCAAAGCTGAATATAAAAGCGGGGCAGGGTCCAGTGCATCAGGTGTGACGTGTGTCCAAGTCTGACGCACTGTACAAAAAACATGGTTCGGGAAATAAGTGTTTTGTAATCACAGCAGCTGCAGATGTGTCCCGCCGTCAGAGGGGACCAGTGCAGGAATTAGGAATGTTTTACTGCTCATTAAGAGAATGGGAATGCTCCTCCGGGAAAGAAAGAGGCCATTAGAAAGACCAGAGCAGAGACAGAACCTGCTCTCTCTCTGGTTTCTCTCTCTGCTCTCTTTACTCCCTACTCTCTCTTTGCGCTCTCTCTCCGGTTCCTCTCTCTAGAGCCTGGTCTATCTCTGCTTGCTCTCTGCTCTCTCTGGTTTCTTTCTCTATTCTCTCTCTGCTCTCTTTACTCTCTCCACTCTTTCTGTGGTCTCTCTCTCTATTTTCTCTCCAATCTCTCTCTGCTCTCTGTTTTCCCTTTACTTTCTTTCTGGTCTCTCTTTCTTTTCTTTCTCTGCTCTCTCTGTTTTTCTCTATTCTCTCTCTGCTTTCTATCTGCTCTCTCTTGTTTCTCTCCGTGCTCTCTCTCTGGTTTCTTCATCTCTCTCTACTCTCTCTGGTTTCTCTCTATTCTTTCTCTGGTTCCTCTCTCTCTCTCTGGTTTCTCTCTGTTCTCTCTCTGCTTTCCCTCTGCTCTCTCTCTGCTTTCCCTCTGCTCTCTCTCTGGTTTCTCTCTGCTCTCTCTCTGGTTTCTCTCTGCTCTCTCTCTGGTTTCTCTCTGCTCTCTCTCTGGTTTCTCTCTTCTCTCTCTCTGGTTTCTCTCTGCTCTCTCTCTGGTTTCTCTCTGCTCTCTCTCTGCTTTCCCTCTGCTCTCTCTCTGGTTTCTCTCTGCTCTCTCTCTGGTTTCTCTCTGCTCTCTCTCTGGTTTCTCTCTGCTCTCTCTCTGGTTTCTCTCTGCTCTCTCTCTGGTTTCTGCAGGTTAATTTCGTATTTAACAATTTAAAAATACATATTGGGTTAAAATGTTGGAATAGAATTATGAATATGGTAATTATCTTGGGAAAGTTAGCTTTAAGATGAGGTATAACAGACATGGCAGCTTATAAACCATAGATGCTGCAAAAGAGTACTAGTGGATATCTTTTCAATAGCCACAAAAAAACGTCTGGTGGGCCGTGTTTGGTTCGCGGGCCTCATGTTGGACACCTGTGATGTATGTGGTGCAAGCCGTGGTAAAGAACAACCGTTGACTGCAACACTAAGATCTATAACTTAGATTAAAAGGGAAATCAACAAAATTTGAAGAATAAAAAAAGATTTAAAGCTGAGGTGCGTAACTTTCAATCCAATAAAGATGGCGCTTAGACAGGGTGCTGCAGCAAGACCTACTATGTGCTTTAACTGCTTGATATCTATGTATTTATCATGTTGCACACTGGGAAAATTATGTATTATGTAATTATGTAATGTATTCCAATGTGGTTTTACTGCAAATGTCAAAAAAAAACTGATTCTGAATCCATGTATCTAGTTCCAGGCTCTAAAACAGCTGCTTCCATCACTAGTTTGTATGAGTGTCTGCCCCTTTTCAGAGAGAGAAATGAAAGAGAGAGGACCACCCTCACTCCGCCATTTAGCTCTCAGCCCAAAGAGTCAAAAAGAGACTCACAGGGCTCTGTCTTACACAAAAGATGTTTTCTGATCAGATAACGTGTTGCAGTCTGATTATTCCACAACATTTTGCTTGTAAGTCTGTGCTGACATCTGCTGGTGGATAATCATCACTGCAGTCACATACCTTCACAAAATCTATATTAAAATAACAACATCGCCTGTACACTGTGAGTTAGCATTACTCACAAGCTCAATGGAACCCAACAGGGAAGTACTCATGGACAAAGTTTTGCCCCAACACACTCTGACTCCTTGTGACTTTCATGTAAAAATAAACATTTTAAAAAAAAGTAACATTTTGTGTCATACTCACCATTTTGGACTTTAATCTGTGGTTTAGCGCTCTCTGTGATCTTGATGTTCATATTGTGATGTTATCTTCATAAATCCAGGTATGAGCCATATACAGTGATGGGAATAACGGCGTTACTAGTAACGGCGTTACTAACGCCGTTACTTTTTTCAGTAACGAGTAATCTAACTAATTACTTTGACAGTAACTATAACGCCGTTATCATTTCCGACATCCCGTTACTGCGCGTTACTCAAGACGCACAATGAACGTGTTGTCATGAGAGAAGGGAGGATGAGAAAACCTCTCAGCAATTATTGGCTGATGTAAATCATATTTCCTTTACAATCTACATGTCTACAGTTGAGAGGATGGCTCATAAATTGTGTTTTTGAAACAAATATGGGTCTTAATCGCGCTCAACCACGGCTTGTATCACCGTGAGGTCAGCCGCAGAGTAGCGCATGTGAGCGCAGAAGTCGGCTGCATACAAATTCCATCGATAAGCTCCTTGCTCTTCCTGGTTTATCTGCTAAGGACAGCAACAGGTTTGGCTAACATACATATAACACATTTTTACATAATCTAAAATGCACATAGGGTAATTTTTCAATTACTATAGGAATGATAAGAAAGAGAGGTGAAGTGTAAGACGGTTGATTTTGGAAATTGGATGCAGCCGGCTGCAGCAAAACAGAGGAGTTTACGGAGGACACACGCGTTTTGTTTTACTTTTTAAAACTCATTGGACTCATTTCCAAATGGAGGATTACATATCTACGCTCAAACCATTCACTGGATTTAAACAAGGAACTGGTCTGAACCGAAGTGGACTGTGCAGGTCATTTATAAGGTATAGCTATAAGGTAAGACCCATAACTCATAGTTTTGCGTTTTGTATGAACACACAATGCGGGCATAAAACATATTTTGCTGTAGCCAAACAAATTGTCCACTTGATTTATATGATGTATATGTTCATCTGATTGGACTGAAGTCAGTGCTTCACCAGCCTCACCGCTCGTCACCGGTGTTTCCACATTCACAGTGGCGGGCTTTACAGCACAGTGAGAGATGAAGAGTGAACAGGACTTCAGCAGCAAAACAGCCTTTTCTAGATGGAAATATTGGCACTGTTAAAGGTAAAAATGCGCACGTCGGGTGCACATTATGTTCCAGAACAAAACGAAAAAGTAACGCAATAGTTACTTTTACTGGTAACTAGTTACTTTTATAGTGGAGTAACTCCGTTAGTAACTCAGTTACTTTTTGGGAGAAGTAACTAGTAACTATAACTAATTACTTTTTCAAAGTAACGTGCCCAACACTGGCCATATAAGGATTGACTAATCAGAAGCCTTCAGTTGTGGGGAAACTCCAGCTTGCCTTAGCAACCGTCTAGTAACACGCCTGCACCTGTTATGGCGCAAAGTTAGAACAAATGCTCAGGAATTTGGCTCAAATCGGCTTCTTCCACATAAAGCTAACACTGTAGTGATCTCACATCTGTCAGTCCACTCCTAACATACTAATTAGCTCTATGAATAACATACTTTTTTAGACCTAAGAAGAAATTATGATTAAACCACACAACTGCACTGCTTCAAGGGTTTCATCAACTCACCCCACGCTCACAACACTCACAACTTGGTAGAAAACATTATACTATAAGCCGCGGATTTAATATATGAATTATAATCCATCCATCCATCCATTTTCTTCCCCTTAATCCATTTCTGGGTCGGGGGGGTGGCAGTCAGAGCTGCACCCAGTACACTTAGCACCAGCCTCTCACTGATCCTCCTGCAGGTGCTGAGTCCACAGGAGCTGAGATCTTTCAGTTGGGGCTTTGGGCAAAGTAGGGTTAAGTGTCTTGCCCAAGGACACAACGACAGCAGTCATCAGTGGGAGTCGTGAAGTAGGTCTTACGGTGGGCTCGAACCCACGACCTTCAGGCCCAAAGGCCAATGCTCTACCAACTGAGCTACTGTCGCCCTATCATAAAATTATAATGATTTTTTTTATTTTTTGGTTCCCTGCATAGACATGAAAGTGAACAGAGTGGTAGATGTTGCTCCATATATTTCTGCTTGACATAAAACAATGTAAAGCCTAAGTCCTGGATCTACAGCCTGTCCGTCCGTGGGAGTAGATCCCTCTCAATGTGAGCCTCCCCGAGGTTTCTCACTATTCTCCCACTGGGTTTATGTGTGGTTCCTTTCGAACGGAGGACATCCAGAAGTAATGATCCAGGACATGTAGGACCCTGCATCCCCTGCCTATGGACCTATGGCTCCTGCTTTTCCTGTTCAAACTGTTTGATTCTCTGATCAAACAGATGAAACTCCTCTGAGATGATTTAGGGCGATTCACAAATACATTGAATTGAATTGAAAAGTAACTTTATAATTAACTGTTTATGCTAAGCGTTGTGAAACTGTTGGGATCCTCACTGACCGTGGTGTAAAGTAACACTGTATGTAACTTGAGTTGTTTGTTACTAAAGTATTACCGGTATATCACATACATTACAGCTACTCCAATCACTTTCAGTGTGACCCAATGTTACAAACCAGCAGGTGGCGCTAGAGCTACGTCCATTCTGTGACCATGTTATTTTATTATTTTTAAAGTACCAAAAACACGCTGATCGCTGCGCCCCGCCCCTCCCTATGAGCCAAGCCACGGTACGCCCGTTTTCCTATTCACCACCGCGCTTACGCTATTTAATGACGTAACCTTCTGTACGCAGAAGCCTCGTTACGCACTGAATCCCACGTAGCTAGCTGTCAGCCGGGGCAGGACATTTAAATGGCTCCACTCCCCGTATTTTAACACCGTAATAACGCATTTACAGCTGTTTATGAGGGTAATGCGCGTTTGAAACTGTCACACACGTCTTCCAGCGCCTTCGTGCGGCTGTATCTGCGCCTGGCTCCGGCCGAACATGACCGAGGACGAGGAGAAAGCCCACGCCGGGTTTGAGGACCTGTGTCGGGCTGTGAATATGGACCAAGACGCGAGCTGTGAAGCCTGGAAAAACTATCTGCAAATCAGCTCCACTTTCACTTTAGAGGTGAGAATACATCATCATGGATTTGCATACATGGTTCTGCGGCTTCAATGTTAAAATAGTTTTTGACTAATTACGTCATGAACTTGACTCGTCTCCATATGTATTCGCTCTGTTCGCATGTTAATTGTACTGTTTTAAATATATTAAGTTTATACACGTGATTCTTCACCTGCGAAATCAGAAAGAAAACATGTGAAAAATCTTTGAATACCTTCCATTTACTGGTGTCTCAAACTCTTAAAGCTGGGTTCCGTAACTTTTATGTCTGATAAATAATAAATGTAGTTCGTCTATCAGAAAGTGTCTTGTAAAAGTGAAATGTTGTGAATAAATTAGGCCTCAAAAGGCTGTCTTCATTTAATTAGGAAACGTTATATTTTCTATGGTCTCTTTCTAATCTCTGTCTCTGATCTCTTTCTGATCTCTTTCTGGTCTCTCTCTGGTCTCTCTCTGGTCTTTGTCTCTTGCTTTTCCCTGTCTATCTGGTCTCTCCCTGGTACTGGGTCTGTCTTCCATGTGGCGAAAAGCTGACACGGGTCCAAACAACACGCCGACCATTCCCACTGTCGTTCCGGCATTTCTTGCGCATTCTAATGGTCTCTTACTCCACTCCTGCTGCAGGGGGACGCTCGGCACTGGCTGGTCTGTGCTCTGTACGTGGCCTGTCGCTCCTCGGTCCCGACTCTGGACAAAGGAACATGTGATGGGAACTATGTGTCACTAACCCGGATCCTGCGCAGTGCCCCCATGAGGTCAGTACGAGCACTGTACATTCACTGGAGGCTTTTTGCTAAGAAGAAAGTCCCTCAGAGAAAGACCTTAGATAGAGACCAAGAGACCAGAGAAAGTGACCAGAGAGAGACCGGAGTGAAACCAGAGAGAAAGACCAGAGGGAGAGAGACCAGAGAGAGAGCAGAGAGTGAGACCACTTTCAGTCTCTCTATGGTCTCAGCTCTCCTCGGTGTGATCCAGTGGGGGCGGGTCCCAGCTCAAAAGTGGCCAAAATGACATGTGCTGACATGCTTGCAATACCACCCCGGGCCGATGGGGGTGGACCCGGAATAAGAATTAGCCAATGCTAACATATAGCATTGGCAGACCTCTGGAAAACGTCTTTACAGGATGGTCCAAAAGTTGGCTCTTGGCCCAAAGCTCCGTTCCACATGTGTGTCAATGCTGAGGGGGGTGGTTTTTTTTGGACCACTCTAGTTTACTTGCTGTGAATTTTTAAAGTCACTCGTTTAAATGAATGGGGCTCGTGCCGGCTGACGCATGAGCAGATGCGTTTTTTCACATTTTCCAGCCCCCACGGCCATTTTTAATCACCCCATGAGAGCCCAATTTTTGGCGCCATTAGTTAGAACGGCGGAGATAGACTACGTCCGTTAATATGTACAGTCTATGGTGTGATCCCAGTCTCTCTGTGGTCTCAGTTCTCCTATCGATGGTCTCAGATATTCTCTACGTGGTCTGTCTCTCTGTGGTCTCAGACTCTCTGTGGTTTCAGTCTGATCGAGTTCTTCAATAAGTTGAAGAAATGGCAGGACATGGCCCAGCTGCCCGCGGCCTTCCGTCAGCGCACCGAGAGGCTGGAGCGGAACTTCACCGTGTCGGCTGTGATCTTCAGGAAATATGTCCCGATCTTCAAGAGCGTATTCAAATCCCCCACGGAGGAACCAGCCCGCCTGCACCGCAGCCGCAAGCAGAGGTGAGGGCCCACATGAGACCAGAGTGACCAGAAAGAAAGAGACCTTAGAGAGACCAGAGACCGGAGAGAGAGAACAGAAAGAGAGTCCAGAGAGAGACTAGAGAGAGAGACCAGATAGAGAGATCAGAGAGAAACCAGAGAGAGAGACCAGGGTGAGACCAGTGCGAGAGCAGAGAAAGAGACCAGAGAGGGACCAGAGGGGGACCAGTGAGAGGCACCAGAGAGACCAAAGAGAGAAAGATATCAGAGAAAGGGACCAGAAAGAGAGAACCAGAGAGGGACCAGCAAGAGGGACCAGAGAGAGACCTGAAATTAGCGTGTCTTTGTCTATGTTAGCATTATCCTAGCCTGACTCTCGCCAGACCCATGTAGTTCGCTGCACTTCACACATGAGTCTGGTACTGAGCCATAGTGGTTGGATTTCAGAAGGCAGGGCCTTGTAAAAAAAATCCTTGTGTGTGATTGGATAGACCACTTGTCCGTTATCTTGAATGAAGTTTGCTTTCAACCACTCTCATCGAAGCACACGGCTCCCATAGGTTGCCAAATCCCAGCAAGATTTTCCAATCCAAAATCTGCGAGAATACCCACACAAAAAACACTCAATGATTTTTTTGGCTAAAAACGTAATATAATCAACTTGGACTATCATGATTCTGTTTATTGTCTTTCTGTTTATTTAATACCTACAAGTCTCTTGGAAAAAAATATGCGGGAACCACCAAACCTGGCAACCCTGCTGCATAGTGTGTAAACAGCAACACTGAACCAGTGCTTCAACCAAACTTTACAGGAACATTTGACTCTTAAAACACACATATGTCAACATAGAACCATCTACATCTCGCCTCAAATTGCATTAAAAGTGACATCCGTGTCTTAATTCAATCGTATTTACTCTTTTAAAAAGATTCGCGGACTTTACGTCTGCCATCTTGGATTCCTCTCGCTGCTGCATGAGAGAAGCTTGAGAAGGCAGTGCAAACCCCACGTATCACCGGCAATCCTGATTGGTCGAATAAAAAATAACCTGGGGAAGGAGTTCGCTATGGGCTCGATACCAGACCCATGTGGTTCAGCCAAACGCCTCTGGTGGAGCATGGCGGAACTACAAGGGTCTTGCATTTTCCATCTGGGAGCAGTGGAAAACCATAACTAGATTTGACTTCATGACACATCGACCCTCTTTGCGTAGAAATTATGAATATGTTTTGTTTCTTGCAGACGGCACCCGTGCTCTGTCCCTGAGCTCTTCCACTTCTGCTGGGTCCTGTTTGTTCACGCCAAAGGTACAAATTATCAAACCCATGGAGCTCCATTATTTTTTTGATTTTATCATTTGTATTCAGTTCATAGGGTGTACACATGTGAAAAACATATTGTCATGGATCTTTTAAATGTCCGTCGGTAGAAGAGTTTTTAGCACAATCTTCACACCCGTAATCAGTGATGGGAATAACGGCGTTAGTAGTAACGGCGTTACTAACGCCGTTACTTTTTTCAGTAACGAGTAATCTAACTAATTACTTTGACAGTAACTATAACGCCGTTATCATTTCCGACATCCCGTTACTGCGCGTTACTCAAGACGCACAATGAACGTGTTGTCATGAGAGAAGGGAAGATGAGAAAACCTCTCAGCAATTATTGGCTGATGTAAAACATATTTCCTTTACAATCTACATGTCTACAGTTGAGAGGATGGTCATAAATTGTGTTTTTGAAACAAATATGGGTCTTAATCGCGCTCAACCACGGCTTGTATCACCGTGAGATCAGCCTCAGAGTAGCGCATGTGAGCGCAGAAGTCGGCTGCATACAATTCCATCGATAAGCTCCTTGCTCTTCCTGGTTTATCTGCTAAGGACAGCAACAGGTTTGGCTAACATACATATAACACATTTTAAGATAATTTAAAATGCACATAGGGTAATTTTTCAATGACTATAGGAATGATAAGAAAGAGAGGTGAAGTGTAAGACGGTTGATTTTAGAAATTGGATGCACCCGGCTGCAGCAAAACACAGGAGTTTATGGAGGACACGCGCGTTTTGTTTTACTTTTTAAAACTCATTGGACTCATTTCCAAATGGAGGATTACATATCTACGCTCAAACCATTAACTGGACTTAAACAAGGAACTGGTCTGAACTGAAGTGGTCTGTGCAGGTCATTTATAAGGTAAGACCCATAACTCATAGTTTTGCGTTTTGTATGAACAAACAATGCGGGCATGAAACATATTTTGCTGTGGCCAAACAAACTGTCCAGTTGATTTATATGATATATATGTTCATCTGATTGGGCAGAAGTCAGTGCTTCACCGGTGTTTCCACATTCACAGTGGCGGGTGTTGGTGTTTAGTGCTTTACAGCACAGAGAGAGATGAAGAGTGAACAGGACTTCAGCAGCAAAACAGCCTTTTCTAGATGGAAATATTGACACTGTTAAAGGTAAAAATGCGCACGTCGGGTGCACATTATGTTCCAGAACAAAACGAAAAAAGTAACGCAATAGTTACTTGTACTGGTAACTAGTTACTTTTATAGTGGAGTAACTCCGTTAGTAACTCAGTTACTTTTTGGGAGAAGTAACTAGTAACTATAACTAATTACTTTTTCAAAGTAACGTGCCCAACACTGCCCGTAATGTAGCTACTTTGAAGATGCTTCAATCGTTAGTTAGGTATGGTCCCTCTCTGGTCTCTTTCTGGTCTCAAATCTGTGCTGAGACGTGTGTGTATGTGTTTAGGTAACTTCCCGATGATCAGCGATGACTTGGTGAACTCCTACCACCTGCTCCTGTGTGCGGTGGACCTGGTGTTCTGCGGCGCTCTGCTCTGTCCCAGCAGGAAGGAACTGCTCAACCCCAATTTCGCAGGTACAACGTCACCAAGTCTCCAAGATGTCTGTCCCTGGTCTCCAAGATGTCTGCTCCTTTAGGTTAATGGCCTGTGCTCATTGGCTCATGCTTGCACCATTAACACCCCAAACATTAGAAGAAGTTACGCGTTCTGGCCCGCTCTGGTTCTCCCAGTCTTGTGCAGTTGGTGCAGAGAAGAGCAAGTTTGTAGCACTGAAGTGTGAATTGAACAAAAACCTATTTCTAAATAATTTCAAAACGTGCAGGATGACAAGACACTTAAATCCCCAACATTGAGGTCTATGGAAATTCCTCTAGTATGGTCTCATGTGATGCGGACAAGGAAACTTGGCAACCATCAGTGACCTCTTCTGGGAAAATGAAGAATTACATATGCTTTGCATATAAATCTTACTTTATCAAAATAAGCAACGATTCCTATTGCTTTATATAACTCTGGAAAAACAGCTCCTAGAGTGAAAATGGTCAGAAAAAACCTTGGACCTGTCTATAGAAACATGGTGGTTCACACAAACTTCTACCGTTGGAGGAAGTCTGGTTATCTCGACCTGCACTAAATCATGAAGTCAAATAAGTCCTTGTAGTCCCAGTAGCGCTCTGAACAGAACTCTTGAGATTTTGAGCCGTGTGTAAATCTACCCTCAGACCTGTGGCTTCCTGCTGCTGGAGAAATGCCTTTGTTTTACTGAAAACTTCCCATATCTCATGTTGATCAGAGTAAAACTTTAGTAGCAAAAATGCAGCTGTAGCGGAAATCCAGACCTCAGTGCTCACCCCCACCCCGAGTCCTCCCTCTGCACACCCTCTCATCCGCCTCGGCCTCACACCGGAGCTCCTCAGCATTGCTTCAGGGCTGCATTTAAACAGAGCCTGTCAAACTGAGGGTGTGGCTTGTATATTTACCTGCACTCTTAAATGCAACTGCTGGCCTGGTCTCAGTAGGATCTGATTTTCGTGGTTGCACACAACGGACTGGTTTTTCACACCTCTGTCAGAGCACAGATTTAAAGGAACAATATGTAAAAATCTGGCCAAAAGTGGTACTGCAGTCACAGTCAATATTTTGTAGTCCTCTCCCACTCTCCCTGACTCAGGTTGCCAGATTCACACCAAATCCAGCAGCAAACACAGGGAATTATTTTATCAGTTGTTTGTCCGTCTCCATTCACATGCCATGACAGCCGTGCTAATGCTGAATGAATGTTTTGATTCATGTTTTTTTATTATTATTATTTGGACATTTGAGATAAAAAACAAAAACAAAATAAAAGCAATGTAATTATACATAGTTTATGCAAAATAAATAAGCAATTGATGTCCAAAATAGGAGTGGAAAGAATGGATGTTGGAACGTATTTCTTCAGCGTATCAACATCAGGGTTTGCTCAAGAGGATATCACCTTTCAATTTTATTTATTCCCTATTTTTTAGACAAACATGTAAAAGTCCCACATCAAAAAGAGACTAAAATTATTGTAATTGGGGTACATGTGGTCTTAAATGATTATTTTTACAATTAAGCTATAATCTGCAAAAAAACGTCTTGACCTTCATCTTTTACCGTTTTTAGAGCAATCTGTCATAGAATGTGATAACATGCAATAAATACAAAAAGACATAGCCCGGAATCGAACCCGGGTTCCTGCATCGTAAGCGCACAGTTTAGACCAGTAGACCACCGATTCACAAGAGTGAGTCACTGTGAAGAACGGACTCAAACTAGCAAATTCTGCATCACACGTAAACTTTTATCAGCTGTCTCAATTGTTCAAAGGCGTCCCGATATAAATCCTCGTTTTAGTCTTTGTTTTGTCATTAATGATTTGAGAGTCATAACAAGACCTTTTTTAGTTCTGCGCCACATGTTATTTTACCTCTGAGATTAATGAGCCGCGCGGAGTTCTGGCAACCCGATCACGGACTTACATGACACTTCCTGATTGGCGAAACGGCGGAGGGTAGGACATCAAAATCAAAACAATAACAACTTTTACGGGTCGTAAAACTAATTTTTATAATCAAATATCTCGGCTGAACTACTGTTATCAGTTAAAGATGTGTTTGAAAAGAACATGATTTATTAATGCCTTTTGAAATATTCGGGTCATTTAATGATGACTTGACATGCAAATATTACATATTGCTCCTTTAAGTAATGCAATTATAGGAGAGAGATAGAGAAGATATTTCCTTTACCCTAATCCCCAGCTCTGCTCAGTACGTATATCTGTTATTCTGACTATACTATAATGGTTTGCTGTGGTCCCAGGTCTCTCATTGACCATGATGCGTTGGGTTGCCAGGTCTCCCGGAGGACTTCAGCTCTAAGGACTTCCGGACTCCCTCCCCTCCGCTGTGCTTTCTGCAGCCTCTGTGTGAGCTCCATGACGGGCTGGTGCTGGAGGCCAAAGGCGTCAAAGAACACTTCTGGAAACCCTTCATCAAGAAACTCTTCCACAAACGGGTATACAGTAACACAAGAGGAAAACCTAATGCTTATGGATAATCCGATGATCTATAGAGCGTATGTTAGCAGTGGACTGACCGAGTGTGACATCACTATAGTGATAGCTTTAGTGCTGAAGAGGCCGATTTGTGCCAATATTTGCATTTCTTTAGTTGGAGTTAGCTTTGCGCCAGAACAGGGCAGTTGCAAAATGACATGGTTGCAAAGGCAGACAGATTGACAACGCTATGGAAGGAAAATGGGAAGTGCACATGGACAACATTTTGCCCCAAATGGCTCCGACTGACTTAAATGTAAAAGTCACACTCACCTTTTGGGGCTTAAATCTGGTTTAGCGCTCTCTGTGATCCTGGGGTTTATATTGTGATATTGTCTTTGTTAAACCAGTATTGAGCCAACAGATTGACCAATCAGATATTCAACGCCGTCAGAACCAACACAAACCCAGATTAGGAAATTGGCTCCAGTTTATGTTCAAATCAGCTTCTTCTAAACTGTTTCTCCTGCAGGTCCTCCGAGGGAAAGAGGACGCGCTCTCTGGGTTTCTGGATCCTATGAACTTTGGAGACAGTTTGTAAGTGTGTAATTTGATGATACACAAATATTCTGCCATATCTGTATGCAATCTTAGACCGGAGAGAGAGAGAGACCAGAGTGACCAGAGAGAGAGAAACCAGATAGACAAGAGAGACCAGAGAGAGAGACCAGAGAGAGACCAGTGTGACCAGAGACACCAGTGAGAGACCAGAGAGAGTGACTAGAGGAAGAGTTTTCAAATGAGATGAAGACAGTGTGTTGTGCTCGGATTGGTTCAGAATATTTATCTTTTAAGACTCTTTCAGCTAAAAAGTTATGTAGCCCGGCTTTAACTGTCATGGTGTTGCAGGTCGGGGCTGAACCGCGTGTACGAGGAGCACGTCTTGGCGTCCGGGGGTCTGGACGAGCGGATCTTTACTGGAGACGCGGCCCGAGACGACATTGGGACACCAGGGCCCTGTCTGTGTGAGGGCGAGGAGAACCAGGACAGCGCCATCTACAGGCTGCACTCCAGGCTCACGGTAAAGGCCTATATACACCAACCGGACCAGAGAGAGACCAGGGTGAGAGACCAGGGAGAGAGACCGGAGTGAGAGACCGGAGTGAGAGACCAGAGTGAGAGACCAGAGTGAGAGACCAGAGTGAGAGACCAGAGTGAGAGACCAGAGTGAGAGACCAGAGTGAGAGACCAGAGTGAGAGACCAGAGTGAGAGACCATTGTAAAGCGCATTGGGTGACCTCTGTCTGTAAAAATGCGCTATAGGACTTACTTTACCAGAAAGAGGGGCAGGGAGAGAGACCAGAGAGGGACCAGGTAGAGAGACCAGGGAGAGAGAGACCAGATAGGTACCAGGGAGAGAGACCAGAGTTAGACCAAACTAGAGAGACCGGCAAAGTGTTGACTCTCCTTCTTCCCCTGACCCACATGTAAGCCACAGTCTTTGTGAGATGCTCTTTTTGGTTGTGTGGTGTTCATCCATAGGCATTGGCGTTGAAGGTGTCCACCCCGCTCACCGGGAGGAGGTTTGTCCCTGAGAACAGCCTCAGCTCTCCTGTGTCCCGGGCCCTGGAGAGTGTGGGGCGACTGCACACGCTGCTGTCAGGATCCAGGCACGGACCCAGCGTCAGACTGACCTCCACTCTCAAGTAAGACCCTTGTTATTACCACAGTTTACCAGACCAGAGAGAGTGACCAGAGAGAGGCCAGATAGAGGCCAGAGACAGATCACACAGACCAGAGAGGGAGAGAGAGGCTAAGAGGGACCATAGAGACTAGAGAGAGAGGACAAAGAGAGACCAGAGAGAGAGAAACCAGAGAAAGAACAGAAAGAGAGACCAGCGAGAGACCAGAGAGGGACCAGAGAGGGACCAGAGAGGGACCAGAGAGAGACCAGAGAGGGACCAGAGAGGGACCAGAGAGAGATCAGAGAGAGATGCAAGAGAGAGACCAGAGGACGGGCAAAGAGGGAGACCAGAGACAGACCACAGATAGAGACTACAGAGTCACCAGAGAGAGACCTTATACCATGGTCAGATGTATACGATGGTGGTACAGCTCTGAGCAGTTGAAATGACTATAAAGTTGCAGAATGCCCATCTATAGCTGTTGTTCCAGAGCGTGTGCCAGAGACCCCACTGAAAGCATCTCTCTGAGGCTGAAGGAAATGTGCGACACCTTCTCTCACTATTACGAGAGCAGCGCAGAGGAGAGCGGCGGCATGGACAGAGGTAAACGGCTTCAAACACAGGTTATCATCACAGACTGTGTACACCTGTAGATGGACAATGCTAACAATAGGGAAGTTAGTGTTGAATTGACCATCTGTATAGGCTGTCCATCTTGTGTAGGCTGTTAAAAAGTTATTGCCTCATTCTTTCTCTTTTACCTCTAAGTTGTATTTAGATGTATTTTGCTGATTCAGTCTGTTCCACCGCTGCTCGTCTGGCTGCGAAAACACCAACCAACACTTAGGGTGTATTCAGACCAGAAAAGTCCTTTGCTCCGCTTGCTTGGTCCAAACCAAAAGCGGGCCAAACATTTTTCTTTTGCTCTGGTTCGTATTCAGACTGTACTTTTTGTAAGTGAACTTTCTTTATAAACATATCGACGCATGTGACGATTGGCGCTCCTATTGGACAGCGAGAGCTCACGGAGAATAGATGCGGAAATGTCTGCTCTGCCTATGTTTGCTCTTTTTAGAGCAAAACCACCTTCAACATCAACAGCAGCTCATTAGACACAGGCGTTGTTTCAAAATTTGGAGAATGCGTTAGGAGAAAGCCGAAGGAGACTGCACTCCTTGCCCTGTCCATGGATCTATAATAATAACGGCCCTGTCCCAGAACTTACTGACAGCAGCATTGTGGATAAACAGACGACGGAGGATCAGGTATGAACCCAAGAACACAATTCACTACATGATACGGGATATTGCTTTTTGAGACGTGAGATTTGAAGATGCTGCCATTAACATCACTGTATACTGTGAAAAGTTTTAACTCCAAAAGCCTGTTGCACAGCGTCTCCTCGTTGCTCCAAGTCTGCCCACAGCTCATAGTTGTTGTGTAGCATGGGTTAGCACCTGTGACGCTTGGCTAATTCCTCACAGTTCCTGTCTACGGTGGCCCAAAAAATGCGCACATATCCAGGAGTTGTGTCGGATCAACACTGGTTGTATTCAGACCTGAATCGACTTGGACCAGAGTTTGTTTGGAAGCGGACCGAGACCACCTAAAAAAGTGGGTCTCGGTCCGGTTCTTTGGTCCGGACCAGGATTTGTTTGTGTGTATTCAGACCTGAATAAAAGGTCCGGATCAGAGTTCCAAACGAATCCTGGTCCGTTTAAAGTGGACCAAATGTGCAGGTCTGAATACACAACAACAGCTGTCTTCTTCCTGCAGACATGGCCCTGAAGTACTTCAGCCTGGCGGAGATGCTGTATTACCGCACGCTTGAGTCCATCATTGACCGAGAAAAGGGCATTCTGGGAGATGCCGACCTGTCTGTGAGTCCAAGAGCAGAGAGTGAACAAGGAAAAATAAACTAAATACTTAAAAGGGCTACCAAAGTCTCATTCCCACTGAGAAAAAAACGGGTCGCCTCCTCCTCACACACAGCTGGTTTGTCAGAACGACTCAGTATTTAACGTTTTTTGGCCTGTGACTAAATAAGTGGGGATATTTGACACAACAAATTTGTTGGACAAATAAGGTTGGGTTTCCATCCTTATTACTTGGACGCTGCTCACATGATGCTTTGGGGTAGCATGTTCTAAAACTACGCAAAAGTGACAAGCTATTTTTGGTCTCTCTTCTCATGTCTCTCTCTGGCTTCTCTCTGTGTTTTCTCCCTATTCATTTTCTGGTTTCTCTCTCTTTTCTTCCTCAGGTCTCTTTCTCAGGCCTCTCTGGTCTTTCTCAGGTCTCTTGCTCTGGTCTCTCTCTCTGGTCTTCCCGGGTCTCTCGCTCTGGTCTCTTGCTGGTCTCTCTCTGGTCTCTGGTGATGTCATGGTCTTCTTCTCAGGGCTTGTTTGAAAAGGACCTGTTCCAGCGCTCTCTGGTCGCCTGCTGTGTGGAGATGGTGCTTTTCTCCTACAGACCTCCAGGAAACTTCCCCCAAGTGATCCGCCTCTTCAGCCTGCCTGCTTTCCACTTCTACAAGGTACAAGCAGAATTTAAACCGTACAAAAGCACTCGTACAACTCTTCATGTTGGGACCACAAACAAAACATTTAATTAAGCGACAACTGTCAAGGGAAGAAAAATAATACATGAAATTTTGGTGCAACTCGCTCTGGCTCCTACTGACTTGACGGTTGTGTCACACTGGTTTAGTGCTCTCTGTCCAGTCGTAATGTACGCTCTATGGTTTAAACCTACTTTTGTCTCCAGGTCATCGAGGTGCTGGTGCGCGCGGAGCAGAGCCTGTTTCGGGAGGTGGTCAAACACCTGAATCAGATCGAGGAGCAGGTCCTTGACTCTCTGGCCTGGACCCGGGACTCTCCTCTGTGGGACAGTCTGGGCAAGGACCATGTGCCCTCCTGCAGAGAGGTGCAACAAAATCCTACCCAGAGACCAGAGAGAGACCAGAGAGAGACCAGAGAGAGACCAGAGAGAGACCAGAGAGAGACCAGAGACCAGAGAGAGACCAGAGAGAGACCAGAGAGAGACCAGAGAGGGACCAGAGAGAGACCAGAGAGAGACCAGAGAGAGACCAGAGAGGGACCAGAGAGAGACCAGAGAGAGACCAGAGAGAGACCAGAGAGAGACCAAAGAGAGAGGGACCAGAGAGAGAGACCAGAGAGAGACCAAAGAGAGAGGGACCAGAGACCTACCTCCCTCCGGGGGTCACATAAGGAGTTACAGACAGAAAGCATTTTTTACCCTTGTTTAGAACTCTCCACACTTTGATTGGAGATTTCCAAACCACTCAAGTTTGAGTAACTCTGCACCATGTGGGTTCAGGTGATGCCTCCTCAGTTCTTGGAGCAGAGTGATGGGAGCAGCTCAGTGACGCTTCCCCTGACTGTGAACCAGGGACCAGACCAGAACGCCAACAAAGGTTCGATGTATGTGTGTGTGTGTGTGTGTGTGTGTGTGTGGGCCTGTGTGTATATGCATGAAAGTGTGAGAGAGTGTGTGACTGTGTGTGAGCATGTGTGTGTTTATATTGTAGTAGTTTATTTTCTTCGGCCATTTGTACTGTACATTAGATCTCAGGTCGCATGTTTTCAAAGATCGTCCATACATTTTACAATAAGAAACAAAAATATATATTTAATGTGTCTATTTAGAATCTTTTGTGTGCGTGTGTGTGTTATGAAAGGTACGACCATTTTTTAAAGAAAATGTTATCTTTGTGCAGTCAAGAGTGGGGTTGGGCCTAGAGACATATGTTTTATTTCTATTGTTGTGGTCTGAAAGTTAGGTACCCCAGCTTTAATACTCCAGATAATCTCAGGTCATTTAACTTGTGTTTTGTTATTCTGTCCTTTTTCAGTAGTTTCTCCGTCCCCCACGACTCTCACGGAGCGCTACAGTTCTCCTCCGGCCACATTCAAACGTCGTCTGTTTGTGGATCCTCCTGAGAGCGGGACCAAAGCCTCTCCCCGGAGCCTGGCCCCGGTACCCTCCGGTCAGACTGTCGTGGCCACCGCAACACTCTCAGCCAACAACGGCCAGACGCTCACCATCCCTGTGCAAGGTAGCGGTCCATCTGCAGAGGTCTAAAGAGGTCTGGTCTCTCTCTCTCTAGTCTTGTTCTGGTCTCTCTTTCTGTTGTTCTGTATCTTGCTGTTCTCTCTCTGGCCTCTCTCTGGTCTGTCTCTGGTCTGTCTCTGGTCTGTCTCTGGTCTGTCTCTGGTCTGTCTCTGGTCTGTCTCTGGTCTGTCTCTGGTCTGTCTCTGGTCTGTCTCTGGTCTGTCTCTGGTCTGTCTCTGGTCTGTCTCTGGTCTGTCTCTGGTCTCTCTCTGGTCTCTCTCTGGTCTCTCTCTGGTCTCTCTCTGGTCTCTCTCTGGTCTCTCTCTGGTCTCTCTCTGGTCTCTCTCTGGTCTCTCTCTGGTCTCTCTCTGGTCTCTCTCTGTTCTCTCTCTAGTCTCTCCCTCTGGATAAGGTAGCAGCTTATAGTCCTGTATTTATAATTGTTTAATGCTTCAAGCTACCCCCAGTATTTCCAGTTGTTGAAGTGGTCTGTGAGTCTCTGTAGTCCTTCATGACCCGCCTACTCTCGCAGGGATAGCCAATCAGAGCGGAGGCATCACCTTTATCCTCCCGGCTCCGGTGAACATGACGCCACAGACCATCACAGCGCAGACCCTCACCGGAACATTCACCGTCCAATCAGCTGTGGCCAGAACCTCACCTAGAGCCAAACCAGCGAGCGCCATCAAGAAAGGCTCTCTGTGTCTGTTCTTCCGGAAGGTACAACCGTCTGGGGCCCCTACACAGAGCTCTGTCTGAGGCCCCTCTGTCAACAAAATTATTATTATTATTTGTTGATAAATATTGTTTTATTTAATTAGACTCAATATTGTATTTTTTGTAGGTTCATGTCTTATTAAGATTTATTTTACAGAATTGATTCAATATGATTCTTTTTAATGGATGTAAACATAGATTGTTTTATTACTTTCATTGAAGTAGCAATATGTAATATTTTCATGTCAAGTCATCCTTAAATACTTCTTTGTCTGATAACAGTAGATCAGCCGAGGTATTTGGATTTCAAAATTATTTTTACAGCCCGTAAATCTTGTTATTGTTTTCATTTCGATGTCCCGCTCTCCACCGTTTATTAATCAGAAAGTCTGTGATCCGGGTTGCCAGAATTCACCGAGCTAATCTCACTGGTAAAGTAACATGTGGCTAACCTGGCAAGAGCCAGATTGATGATTGTGTAGAACTCTAATGCGTTCTCCACAATATCAATCTGGGACTTCTCCCGGAGAATCCTTTCGGGGAAAGGAGGGATAAGCAGCAGAATACTTCAAGCTGATTGGGCGAAGTGACGCTGTGTGCCCGCCTACCAAGGTTTGACTTAAACCAATCCCGGTAACATCTTTGCTGTCCAGAAATGCACAAAGCACCTCTCGCTGTTCATCTTTCAAAAAAGAAATTGGAGATTCTGCTAAAACTGACTTGATAGCCTCAGCTACGCGTCCGTCCTCCTGCGTAGCCATGTTTGTTTTGCTTCGGCCCGGCACTTCTTGCTTTCGTCAAACCCGGATATCCCGCCCTAAGCCCCCAGACTGCCACGTGATTGGCTTGAACACCTGGATGTTCTCCTCGAAAAGGGTTGGCGGGAGCGGGGCGAGATGTATTCTCGAGTGTTTGTGAACTCACAAATACCGCGAGAATTCATCTTGCAGGAAAGGTTAACATAACAGAACTTAAAAAGGTCTTGTCATAATTATCAAATCATTAATGACAAAAAAGGAATAAAACTAGAAAAACCAACACCTTTGTGAAAAAGGTGATTTTTAGGGAGAGGTTGCAGTACCACTTTTGGCCAGATTTTTACCTACTGCTCCTTAAATTATTTTTTTTTACATGGATTGTTCTGGGAGAGTCTGACTTTTGACACCATAGTTACCAGTTACCTGGGGATAAGCTGTACTCCACCACAATGTACCACTCTGCCTCAATCTAACCGGGTCTAACCCAGTCCAACCCGGTCTAACCCTGTGTTTCACAGGTGTACCACTTGGCATCAGTGCGCCTCAGAGACCTTTGTCAGCAGCTGGACATCGGCTCAGAGCTCAGGACTAAGATCTGGTCGTGTTTCGAGTTCTCTCTGCTCCACTGCACTCAGCTGCTCATGGGCCGACACCTGGACCAGCTGCTCATGTGCGCCATCTACGTCGTTGCCAAGGTACTGCAGGCTGCCCTTCCACAGCAGACAGGAGAGAAGGAGGAGTCTACTGGTGTTAGTTCAGGGATTCTCCATTCAATATATCTGTTTACAGCCCTAAATCACAACAGCCGTCGTCTCAGAGGACTTCATTAAGATTCCTTAACAACCGATCAGAGAATCTAACAGTTCTAACCCCAGCGGGATGACCACTGTCCAGAAATGTTAATAAATGAGCATAAATGTCCCAGATCATCTCTGTCCTTAAGATTTTCCTGCACCGGCAAGGACTGAGGCCGTAGAACCAGGACTGAGACTGTAGAGGGATTCAACCAGGTCTGTACCAGGACTACCCCAAGAACTGAAGTCACTGATTTTAATAAACGGACTTCCCAAAGGCTACAATGGTACAGCGGGAACAGGGCTTTAGAAGCATCTCTCAACTGGAGCCATTTTCCTTATATGGGCATTTGTTCCTGTGGCGTTAGCCTTGCAATGTAACGGGGCAGATGTATTGCTAAGACAGTTGCTAAGGCAAGCAAGAGTTTCCCCGCAAATGAAGTTATCTGATTGGTCAGTCCTTACATGCCTCATATCTGGCTTTACAAAGACAATATCAGAACGTAAACACCAGGATCACAGAGAGCGCTAAACCATGAATTTCTATCTCTGACCTCTTTCTCTGTTCTCTCTCTCTGGTCTCTCTCTGGTCTCTCTCTCTGGTCTCTCTCTGGTCTATCTCTCTGGTCTCTCTCTGTTCTCTCTCTCTGGTCTCTCTCTGGTCTCTCTCTCTGGTCTCTCTCTGGTCTATCTCTCTGGTCTCTCTCTTGTGTTTCTCTGCAGGTGATGAAGGAGGACAGGTCTTTTCAGAACATCATGAGGTGTTACCGGCTGCAGCCTCAGTCCCACAGTGACGTACGCATCAGACTGAACACAAACAAATGCTGTTTGTGCAAAGACTGAACCCTGGACGTGTTCTCAGGTCTACAGGAACGTGCTGATCTCAGAGACCACGAGACCAACCACACCCTCCAGACCAACCACAACCTCCAAAACAACTAGACCCACGAACGACAAGCCAGATTCTCCAAAGAGCAGCATCCAAACAGCTGCGGAAACTGGTAATGTGTTACAGTCTCCATGAGGACTCGGTCTTTCAAAAGGAGATACATCAACAGTCTGCAACAAAGAGAAACTGCTGCTTCACATGGTTAATATATTTTTTTTATTGTTTCCAGGTGAAGCCGGGAGTCCAGTCTCAGATACTACTGCTACTTCTGCCACTGCTTCTATCCCTGCTCCTAGCACTGCTCCTAGAAGTACTACTGTTACCACTGCTGCTGCTGCTGCTGCTGCCTCTTCTTCTCCTGCTGCTGCTCCTTCTCCTCCTGCTCCCCCTGCTGCTCCTGGTCCTGCTGCTGAGGAGAGAGGAGACCTGATCCACTTCTACAATAACGTGTACATTAAACAGATGCGACAGTTTGCGCTGAGGTTCGCCTCCGCTACAGTGAGTCACGACGTTTACAGTTCAACTTCACATGTTTGACTGGAAGTAATGTGTGCATGGAAAGAATATGTCTCTCTGTGGTCTCTCCTTCCTATCTCTCTGGTTTCTTTCTGATCGCCCTCTAGTCTCTCTCTCTGGTCTCTCTCTGATCGCCCTCTAGTCTCTCTCTCTCTGGTCTCTCTCTGGTCTCTCTCTGATCTCCCTAGTCTCGCTCTTTAGTCTCTGTCTCTGGTCTCTCTCTGATCTCCCTAGTCTCGCTCTTTAGTCTCTGTCTTTGGTCTCTCTCTGATCTCCCTCTGATCTCTCTGGTTTCTCTACACTGTGCAGTACAAAGAATCTTTTCATAATATGGGTATAAAAAAATCTATACCTATATTTAAATAGTGACTAAAATTAAAATCTGTTTTACTTTTGTGCAAAATACATGCGTCTTGTCCCTTCTCTGCTTTCACTATGTTCTCCACACTTGCACGGCTCTAATGTACGAGGCCATGTTTGATAATGACATAATCCAGAATGTAACTGCCCCCTTCTGCCCCCAGATGGAGGTGTTCTATCACTTCAGACCATAGTCTTACATATTTGTACAGCACAGACTGACTTACATATAAAGCTGGTCTCCTGCTGTGTTCCAGGGCTCTCCTCCTGCCGTGCCCTTCCCCAGCCTGAGGAGCGGCTCCCCTCGCAGGATGCTTCTGTCCACGAAACACTCCATCTACATCTCCCCCCACAGCTCTGCAGCGCCCTCCACTGACAAGCTGTGCTACTACATCTGCAGCAGCCCGCCTCATGTGAGACATAAACTGTATACAGATGGACAAACACTAAGCCGCGAGTTCAATGAAGCCCACTAGGTGGTGCTACACTGGTCCCTGGTTTATCACAGGGGTTGTGCGTTCTAAAAATAACCCACAGCAAGTGAAGTCGCAGCTGTATGTTTTAAGGCTGTAAAACCCCTCATCTGGTCTCGCTCTGGTCTGTCATAGCCCTCAGCACTGCTCCCGCCCCTCTGCACTGTATTTTACAACCAACAAGTTTGATATCTCTGTGATCGCACTTCAGCTGTCGAGAGTTCAGGTGGTAGAAAGAGACCAGAGAGAGAGAGAGAGAGTCGGAGAATTCACGCGGTGCATGAGAAGCACGTTGTAAAAACCGCGCAACTGTAAACAATATTGAGGACTGGGGGATGGAGACGTCTGATCAGGGTCAGCGGAGGAGTTTAATTATCATTTGAACATTAAAACACATTTATTTACACCCCAAGAACTATCAATCAGGGGGGAAAGTGTGTTTCCTTCATAATCTCTGTAATACCGGTGGTTGTACCATACAGTCTATAGTCTAAGGGATTAAATTAATCTCAAATAATGTCTGTCATTTGTTAGCGTCTACAGGAGATAAACTCAATGATCCGCTGTGGGGAGAGCAGAAAGCGCCCCCTATCTGCGGAAGAGGAGCCTGCGTCCAAACGTGTGTGTGGAGACAGCTCCGCTCTGCTGAGAAGGCTGCAGGACGTGGCCAACGACCGCAGTCTCCACTGAGAGGAGCTATAGAGCAGGTACGACCACTGAGACCACTGAGACCTCTGGTCTCTCTCTGGCCTCTGTCTGTTCTCACTCTGTTCTCACTCTGGTCAATCTCTGGTCTCACTCTGGTATAATCTTTTAAGTAATCTTTATTCATTTAAGTAAGTAAGAGTAAGTACTTCAACTGATCCCTCTCTGGTGTCGTCTTGGTTTCTCTCTGGTCTCTCTCTCTCTGGTGTCTGCAGTCCCTTTATTACTCACCAGATGTCAGTGTGACATTAGAGGCCATAACTTATTCTCACACAGAAGACTAAAGCTGTTGAAGAATTTATAATGTTGTTTTTACAGGAACTCTCTGAAACCCGCAGAAGACTTTTCCGATCTGTCATGAAGATCTGAGTTCAAGCTGCTGATAACATCGTCAGAGAGCCCATCAAAAATGTCCACACATACCTCCACACGCACACACACACACACACACACACACACACACAGAGGGGGGTGAACTCAGATCTCAATAAGGAACCTGCCACTTTCAGACAACGTTGTAGAAAGATTCTTCCTCTGAGCGACTTGGAGAGAGGTGTTTTTCATTTTGTGTTTCTAGCCCCTATAATAATCAGAGATAAAGAAAGTTACATTATTATAAAGTTGTACAATATAATTGTCACACAGAACACAAGGAAAAAAACACTTCTTCACAGAACAATCAGCAAATGTTCTTATTATGAAGTTTAACTGGTGAAGAGCTGCATAAATATGTTTTAACACTTCACCTTCTGGACGGACGTTAAGAAACAAAAGCAGTTCATTGCAAGTCTGTTTCGAGCTGCTACATCAGAAAGAGAGTCACCCTACTGTCTCTGATGTTGAAATTACAGTATTCATATTGTACAATGTAAACAATACAGTTACTGCCAAATGTGTGTCACAGGAGGCCCCAGAGATGTTGAGCTGAGGGCCCTAGAGAGACTGTGTCGGGTGTTTCAGGCTCGACCTGGATAGAACCAGGGCCAAGAGGCACTAAAGAAGGACCTGGTACCGGGTTAAACAGGGTCAGCAGAAACACAATCATCAAGATAGAGCAGGGTCCTGGGTCTTCCCCTGGTCTCCTCCCAGTGGGAGATGCCCAGAACTCCATCCAGTGAGCATCCCAAACACCTCCTCCCCAGGGATGCATCCAGGGAGGCATTCAAAACACCTCGTCCCCATGTGGTCACAGCAGCTTTACTCTGACTGAACTCACTCTGGCCTGGACGGGCGCGTCTCCGTTGACGCGCGTTGGCTGCCGCCCGTCAGACGTCCGTAAAACGGAATAGTGGCCAAACCAGCTGCAGCAGCGCGCAGCTCTGGCTGTGCGTTTATCAGCCCCCGTGAGGCTTTGTTTTAAATAGAAGAAGCGGTGTGTGATGTGCATGAGCTGTGGCTATGATCAGTGCAAAGCACGGCATATTGAAGCATCGCGGACGTCGCGATGGATGAGGCAAAACTTATTGAAAGCAATTGGAAAAAGGAGAGAGAGAAAAGAGAAAAGAACTCTTAACATATCCAGTGTTGTGAGATCTGTCTCTCATAAGTGCAGCTCTGTGTGTGAGTGTGTGTGTGTGTGTGTGTGAGTGTGTGGATGGGAGCGCGCGGCGGTGAGGAGAGAGCGCCTCGGAGGTAGAGGGGACAGAGCGAGAGGAAAAAGAGCGAGGTGTATGTAAAGTTTAGCGTATTAACAATACGCAAAAAATAATTGGTAGATGTACAATCAGGAAACAATTTCAATTTAATACATGAAAAAAATACACACGTTTGTTAATAATCATTGTCATTAACAAATACTTATAATCAGGACTACAGCATATATCAATACATGTTTAATAATGTTGTAAATATATTATTCCATTGCATTTTCAATGGAAAACGGACCCGACACGCGTCGACGGACGGAACAAATAGGATTGTTTTTATTTCGTCCGTCCGCGTCCATTGCACCCTCCGTTGACGGAACGCATGTTGGAGGCAGTGGAGCCACTTCCATTCACCCTCAATGGAGATAACGGAAACGGAGATGAAATGGACACGTTTGGACGGATCCGTCGTCCGTTTTACGCGCCCGGCGTTGAGGCCCCGTTTATACGGAGGCGCTGCGCAGACGTCGCAAAGCAAATAGCAAAAACAACGGGGCTCCTGCGCAGCGTTTAGACCGCGATGGCAGTGGAACTTTACAACACGACAAACGCGACCCCCACTAGTATATTCACTTCGTCAACAACATCCTCCTCAGGCGCCGCAAAGACGTCAAAGAACCAACATCATTCTGCGTTTAACAGCAGCTGTGAAAATGGAAACTGAATTTCTGATTTCGTTTGGAAGAAGGAGTAGAATTCTCCGCGTAGCGCTCGAAGCACAGTAGATAGTTAGAGTGTCCGCCGCCATTGTTGTTTACGTTTGTTCTCGGGTACCGCTCATGTCCAAATGTACGTGAGGGGAAGTGGGGGTTATTGCAGCCGAGAATTCACATCTTACAGCCCCGCTGAGCACCGTGTCTGTTCTGTTCCTCTCTGGGGCTGGATCTCAATGTGTTTTCACCTGAAGCACAGTCTTCATGTAAACAGGAGGCCAAACCAATCCCCTACTCTAACGTTTGATTGTGGCAGCGTCCTCGTGGCCAGAGAGAGCTCTCCCACGTGTTATCATGTTATCATGAACAAATCCATCGCAGAATTAGAAAACTTGACTTTTACAACATTTGAATCCACCTTTTGTCATGATTGAATTAGAAAAAGGTCAAAGACACTCTTCTCTTTCGGCCGACATCACTCTAAACGAGAGAACCAACGAACACATAATAGTATTCAGATTTTGGGAGATCATGTGAAGACGACAAAGTTCTATTTTTTAGACCTGTTTTTGAGCGTTAATTTATTTCACAGAGAAATGTGAAGAATGTATGTTTGTAAATAATGTGCTTTATTCCATTTGTGAAATAAAGTTATAAATAAAGACCTTTGCTTCATGAGAATATTTATTAAACATGAATAAAACACAGAAGACACGAGTTAAAAGCAGAGAGTAAAAGTTGGTCTGAAGACCAGAGAGGACTCTGTCCCGGGTTTATGACCACGACACTAGTTTTGACGATGAAAACTGGATTTAAATACAGATATTTTCCTGTGTTCCCAAAGTTACGTGCAGCAGCTTTAAGTCCTCGTATGGCCTGTGTTTCTCACTTTCTCATCGGTTGATCTTGTGGTTTTTCTGTTTCCTGTAGGAAAGAACTGATGACATTTAAAAATGAATCAAACTTTGTGAATTAAACTTGAAACAGACACAAGTGCAGCGCAAGAGTTTCAGATTCACATCCAGGTGTTTTCAAAGTGGATTTAGAGCAGCTTTAGAGCCCGGTCTGACTTTGGTGGTCCTCTTTTTTTTTTTTTTTTTCTGTCTGAAAATTCTGATCTACAGATTTTAAAGAGGCCAGACAGGGACATGGATTTAAATACAGAGTTCTATTGTTACGTACCTCAGCTTTAAACAGTGTCTTCAGTTAGATGCACAATAATAAATAGTAATAATAAAAGCAGAGTGTAATTCCATGTGATGGGAGTGTTGCTCATCCTGATCATCTCTTATTCCATTAAACATATCCTTATTTAATAATTAATGAATCACATTCTAAGTTAAGATAAGATAAGATAAGATGTGCTTTATTTATCTCACAAGGCGAAATTTACATGTCACATTTGGCATGGATAGAGACACTCAGATTGTGCAAAAGGAGGAAATGTGCAAACATGTTACATGCAGGATATATATGTACAATAAAAGTGACAATAATTGTGTGCAACAAAAGTGACAAGTGTGAATTGGAAACAGTGTCAATAGTAGTGCAGGTTTTCACACAGTGATCATTTAAAGTGACTTATTGTACAGTCTGACAGCGGTGGGGATAAAGGCCCTGCGGTAGCGCTCCTTCCTACACTGAGGGTGTCTCAGTCTTCCACTGAAGGAGCTCCTCAGCTCCTCTACAGTCCTGTGCAGTGGGTGGGAGGTATTGTTCATGATGGAGGTGGCTTTGGCTAGCACCCTCCTGTCCCTCACCTCCTCCACAGAGTCCAGGGAGCAGCCCAGAGTGGAGCTGGCTCTCCTGACCAGCTTGTTCAGTCTGTTTCTGTCCCGCTCTGTGCTGCCCGGGGCCCAGCACACGGCAGCGTAGTAAATGGCAGAAGCTACCACAGAGTCATAAAAGGTCCTGAGCAGAGGCTTGCTCACTCCGAAGGACCTCAGCCTCCTCAGAAGGAAGAGGCAGCTTTGGCCCTTCTTGTGCAGGGAGTTTGTATTATGGGACCAGTCCAGTTTATTGTTAATGTGAACACCCAGGTTCAAGTTTAAGGAACAAACTCAGATAAAGCTAAGTATTAGTTCTTTAAATTTGAGGTACGTAACTTTCAGACCAGCTTTAGAGCTCGGTCCTGGGTCATGCATGTGTCATCTTTAGATCCGTTTTTTCAGACAGAGAAGTGAAAACCAGAGGACCACCCTCACTCGGCCAATCAGCTCTGAGCTCAAAGAGTCAAATAGTGACTTCCAGTCCTTTCTAACACATAGGATAATAAGATGAAGACGGCATGTTGCGGTCTTTTGTAATGTATTACAAAAGTAATGTAATTACTGTAATGTATTGCTTTTTGCTGTAAAACAGTAATGTAAGGCTTTACAAATCAAAAACTGGGTCATATTTACTCGGTACAAAGGTCAGTAACGTGCCTTATATTGCATTTTTATGTTTTTTTTGTTTTTCGTCGCTCAGTGGAAATGTAAAAGTTATTGTTGCTCATGTGCAGCAGATTAAAAGGAGGAAATAAGAGCAGTCAGGTTGCACACATCCAACAGGATATTAAATAAGATATTAGATAACACAATAAAATACTCAGATAAAATAAAGCTCTGGAGCCATAATTGCACTTGGTTCAAGGATAAGTCTCTTGTGGAGAACACACTGTAGTGTTTATATTGTACTTTAACAGCAGAGAATATGACCAGAATAAACAATAGTAACAATAGCAGCAGATAAAGTGACTGGTGAATTATCAGATTGATTATGTAATAATGTAGTTATAATAACATCAGGTAAAGTAATTAGTGACTATAGTGGAATATCAGAACAGGTGAATGGCACATGAACAAACTCAGACGTTCTCATTGTACAGTACAGTCTGACAGCAGCAGGAATGAAGGACCTGCAGAACGTCTTCCAGTCCAGTTTGTGGAAACTGAACGACTTCAACGTGACGGATTTCCACTTCCCCGAGCGCCTGCGTGATGAAAGTGGAGTTGGACAGGTGTACCTAATAAAGTGGCCGGTGAGTGCATTTTTAACTTAAAAGTCATGCAGAAGTGGTTTAATGTTTTACAATAACATTGTGTAACACATCACTTGTTTAACAGAAACAAGTCCTACATCTTGGGACAACTTGGGAAACACTGTTCATAACATTTTACTTTTACAACTGTTGGAAAAACATGATGTTATTTATCAAACAGAAAAGTACCCAAGCTTTAATGAAATAGACCGAGCTGTGCAAGAGTTTGGAGATGAAAACATTTCCGTCTTAATGAAAAAAAGTAATGATGACGAGATAAGAACATGTTGAAAAGAGAGCGCCCAGAGAGACCAGACTCAGACCTGGCTCAGACCTGGCTCAGACCTGGCTCAGACCTGGCTCAGACCTGGCTCAGACCTGGCTCAGACCTGGCTCAGACCTTGACATGACCATCAGATTCTTGCTTCTGTCCCTTTGCTTCTTGGGTAAGTTTTATTTTTTTTGTGACAGTGTTTTTTCTCATAGGCCTCGACTAAATCTGAAAATATATGTATGTAAATAAATAGAACTTTTGTTTTGCTCGTACGTGTATAACTAGAACAACATAAACGTTTTCTAGAGCTCTGACAGTTTTGAGTGCTTCTCATACGGTGCTTTTAAACATCATATGATCTCTCTGGTCTCTCTCTGGTCCCTCTCTGGTCTCTCTCTCTGGTCTCTCTCTGGTCTCTCTCTCTGGTCTCTCTCTGGTCTCTCTCTCTGGTCTCTCTGGACTCTCTCTGGTCTCTCTCTCTGGTCTAACATTGGTCTCTCTCTCTCTGGTCTCTCTCTGGTCCCTCTCTGGTCCCTCTCTGGTCTCTCTCTGGTCTCTCTCTCTGGTCTTTCTCTGGTCTCTCTCTCTCTGGTCTCTCTGGACTCTCTCTGGTCTAACTTTGGTCTCTCTCTCTCTGGTCTCTCTCTCTGGTCTCTCTGGACTCTCTCTGGTCTCTCTCTCTGGTCTAACTTTGGTCTCTCTCTCTCTCTGGTCTCTCTCTCTGGTCTAACTTTGGTCTCTCTCTGGTCTCTCTCTGGTCTCTCTCTCTAGTCTAACTTTGGTCTCTCTCTGGTCTCTCTCTGGTCGCTCTCTGGTTCCCCTCTGGTCTCTCCCTGGTCTCCCCCTGGTCTCTCTCTGATCTCTCTCTGGTTCCTCCCTGGTCTTGCTTTGGTCTTCCCGCAGCCCTCAGTCCTGCTCCTGCTATTTTACACTGTATGCACAGCTTTTGACAGCTGCAGCAGCGCTCAGACCTACAACCAACAGGCTTTTACATAATGACGATTGCACTTCAGCTGTTAAGGTGGTAAGAAAAGTGCATGAAGTGTGTGTGAGGGTTTTACAGCCTTAGAACACACAGCTGCTACTTCAAGGATTTCACTTATTGTGGGTTATTTTTAGTATGCATCATCCCTGCGATAAACCAGGACAAGTGTCCTTCAAAGTGAATTACAATGGAAGTTGCAGACATCCCTCTGAAGTTTACTGTCGCCTCATAAATAATTGCAGTCTTTGTAATGTGCCTCAGTTGTGTGTCGTCCTATGTCACATGACTCACAACGGCCATTTTGTAACACTGTGTGCAGGGGTCCTGGCAGAAACCCACAACTCATCAGGTAACACACACGCACGCCCACACACACACACAAACGCATGGATAAAGTGATGGAAAATGGATTATGGTCTTTAGAAATGTTTTTTAAAGTGAAAAAGGACAGTTTTGTGACATGGTTGATGCGCTGCTTAGAGTGGAGCTCCACGTCTATGACGACAGCGAAGTCTATCACAAAGTGCTTGCGCTCAAAACCTGAGCAGCAAGTGCTTGATATATTGACAGAACTGTCTCTTGTGCTCAGGGCCTTTCAGTCTGAGGCTGAAGGGAGGAGCCAGTCGCTGTCAGGGGGAGGTGCAGCTTCAGAGACCAGGTCTGGAATGGACTCCAGTGGATGCAAACTATGTTCCTCTTGAGTTTGGATCCAGAGTTTGTTCTGCGCTGGACTGTGGCTCTGCTCTCTATGTGGAGGCAACAGCAGTTCCTGAACGAAAAGCTGTGAGAGTCAAAAAAGTCTGTGAGGAGACTGAACTTATCAGCTGTTTTTGGAATGAGCCGTTTGACTCAGATAAAAGTCTAGAGCTCAAGTGCTCAGGTAAGTTTTAGACCAACATTTATAACTTCACCACATAATACTGCCACATGCAATACACACTGACGCGGATTTCAGTCAAAAAACTGAACATCTGACCGTGTTACTCGTCTTTGACACTAGATCAGCTCCACGTTCCCAGAACACTTGTTACACACCATAGACCTCAATGTGTCAGATGGCTTGTCCTCAGCTTCATAGAACCTACAGATTTCTCAGTGGAATTGAAGTGTCTCTTCTCATCCTTTAACTTTTGAAATCCATCTGTTTTTATAAATCCACATGTTCTTTAATTTGACCTAAGATGTGCTTTGATCTGTGGAAGTACCACAAACAGTGCTCCTCTCATTTAATCAAATGTCACAGCGATGCAGGAGAGATCTCTGTCTAGAAGAGTGTGTGATGAAGTCCTCTCTGTCTCAGACTCTGTGCGGCTGGTTGGAGGCTCTGGTCTCTGCTCTGGATCACTGCAGATATGGGACCAGTCCTGGACCTCGGTCTGTGAAGGGGCCTTGGACCTGCGGGGAGCAGAGGTGCTGTGCAAGGAGCTGGACTGTGGGCCTCCTTCTGTCCTCCAGGGGGAGCTCTCTCCTCCGGGGCCAACATTCCACTGTGAGGGCCATGAGTCTGGTCTGAAGGACTGTCCCCGCTCCAGACCCAAGACCTGTTCCTCTGGACCCAGTGCAGACATAATCTGCTCAGGTGAGGGGTGTGGCTTATGTGAGGGGCGGGATATATGTGAAGGGCAGGGCTAAATTGACTCTCTCTCTTGTTGTTGTTGCTCAGAGCCACTCAGGCTGGAGGGAGGAGCCAGCCGCTGTGCTGGGGTCCTGGAGGTCAGATACAGAGGAGAATGGAGGCGAATTATGCCTGATGTAAATTGGATCCTGGATCAGACAGCAGCAGTTTGCAGAGACCTGGACTGTGGATCGGCTGTTTCTGACGCATGGGTGAAGGATTTACCACGGAGTCTTGTGTGGAGGGTCTCTGAGTCCTGTGCGAGGACGTCTCCAGTGAGACAATGTAGTACACACATGGTCTCTCTATCCAATGGTCTGAAGGTGGAGTGTTCAGGTTAGAGTCCAAGTCCTTTTTTAAGACTATTACAGTGCCTTGCAAAAGTATTCGGCCCCCTTGAACCTTTCAACATTTCGCCATATTTCAGGCTTCAAACATAAAGATATAAAAATTTGATTTTTTGTCATGAATCAACAACAAGTGGGACACAATCGTGAAGTGGAACGAAATCTATTGGATAATTGAAACTTTTTTAACTAATAAACTGAAAAGTGGGGCGTGCAATATTATTCGGCCCCTTTACTTTCAGTGCAGCAAACTCAGTCCAGAAGTTCAGTGAGGATCTTTGAATGATCCAATGTTGTCCTAAATGACTGATGATGATAAATAGAATGCACCTGTGTGTAATCAAGTCTCCGTATAAATGCAGCTGCTCTTTGATAGTCTCAGGGTTCTGTTTAAAGTGCAGAGAACCATGAAGACAAAGGAACACACCAGGCAGGTCCGAGATACTGTTGTGGAGAAGTTTAAAGCCGGATTTGGATACAAAAAGATTTCCCAAGCTTTAAACATCTCAAGGAGCACTGTGCAAGCAATTATATTGAAATGGAAGGAGTATCAGACCACTGCAAATCTACCAAGACCCGGCCGTCCCTCCAAACTTTCATCTCAAACAAGGAGAAGACTGATCAGAGATGCAGCCAAGAGGCCCATGATCACTCTGGATGAACTGCAGATAACTACAGCTGAGGTGGGAGAGTCTGTCCATAGGACAACAATCAGTCGTGCACTGCACAAATCTGGCCTTTATGGAAGAGTGGCAAGAAGAAAGCCATTTCTCAAAGACATCCATAAAAGTCTCGTTTAAAGTTTGCCACAAGCCACCTGGGAGACACACCAAACATGTGGAAGAAGGTGCTCTGGTCAGATGAAACCAAAATCGAACTTTTTGGCCACAATGCAAAACGATATGTTTGGCGTAAAAGCAACACAGCTCATCACCCTGAACACACCATCCCCACTGTCAAACATGGTGGTGGCAGCATCATGGTTTGGGCCTGCTTTTCTTCAGCAGGGACAGGGAAGATGGCTAAAATTGATGGGAAGATGGATGGAGCCAAATACAGGACCATTCTGGAAGAAAACCTGTTGGAGTCTGCAAAAGACCTGAGACTGGGACGGAGATTTATCTTCCAACAGGACAATGATCCAAAACATAAAGCCAAATCTACAATGGAATGGTTCACAAATAGACGTATCCAGGTGTTAGAATGGCCAAGTCAAAGTCCAGACCTGAATCCAATCGAGAATCTGTGGAAAGAGCTGAAGACTGCTGTTCACAAACGCTCTCCATCCAACCTCACTGAGCTCGAGCTGTTTTGCAAGGAAGAATGGGAAAGAATTCCAGTCTCTCGATGTGCAAAACTGATAGAGACATACCCCAAGCGACTTGCAGCTGTAATTGCAGCAAAAGGTGGCGCTACAAAGTGTGTGAGATTTCATAACACTTTTAAGCAACTTTTGTTAAAGTTAAACTCATCATTCTATCAATGTGCAGAAGCCTGTACTTTTCCCTTGTTTTGTCAATCTGAAGGCCAAGCTACTGTACATGGCACTGTGGCAGCTGCTGATTGGAGGTCTCCATGCCTCCGCTCTGTATAATACACTTGCATTCTGTGGTATCTGTGATCGTATTCGTGCTGTCTCTACCATCGACAATAAAACATGTCTTCTGTCTGAATTAAAGACGCGATCCCAGACCATGTCATCTTCTTCAAGTGTTAGCGCAAGGGGCCAAATAATATTGCCCGCCCCACTTTTCAGTTTTTTATTTGTTAAAAAAGTTTAAATTATCCAATAAATTTCGTTCCACTTCACGATTGTGTCCCACTTGTTGTTGATTCTTGACAAAAAATGTAATTTTTATATCTTTATGTTTGAAGCCTGAAATGTGGCGAAATGTTGAAAGGTTCCTCAGGGGGCCGAATACTTTCGCAAGGCACTGTACATAAGCATTAAGGTGTGTACCAATGGGCACTACATCACACAATGTCAAGTGGGTAAAATCAAATGACACCCAAAATGCAAAACTGCAAAAATAAATCCAAAAACACAGGGACCGAGAACAAGAACTGAAACAGACGAGGAATGACAATGACGGAACAGAGAGTGAAGGAACACACAGGGCTAAGACTATTAGAGGCTGTGTCTCCACGGCAGGGTAGGACCTCTCGGCAGAACCATGAGTTTTGATCGCCGCGTAATCAATAATTATTCATTTTATTGTGGGAACCGCTCCGGTTATTGTGGTCTCTGAGTTTTTTATAGTCCTGCTTCAGTTTTTTGTAACTTTTTACGGCATTGTGTAGGAGTGTGATGAATCTCCAGAGCTTCAAGGTGCGCTGACATATCTTTTAATTTTGCCGCAATGCCTCAAACCCCGTCTGAATTTCTTTTGCGCCATGGAAGGCAATTGCCTGCACCTCATCATCTGTCCATTTATTGTACATCTTGCTGTTGTTGTTTGCTGTATCCAGTGGTGTCTGCCAGGCTAATGCTACTAGGCTATTTCTGCTGGATTTTAAAAATGCCAGTTGTTTTGGTATTTCCTGCTGTCCTCCACGCTAGGGACTAAAAGTTCCTGTGGGGGAGGTTCCTGCAGTGGAGACACACGCACCAACGGGGGTGGCCCTAGAAAATTACCCTGAAGTTCCTGCGGTGGAAACGCGACTTGACCCCCTGCTGTTCTATCAGGAAAATATGGGAGCGGATGTTGCGGTCCTCAATATGCTCCATCGGTCCGTGTGCTTCCTGGATGGCCCTGGAGGCTATGTGAGGCAGATGTTCTTCAACTTCTCCAGTGCATTTAACACCATCCAACCTCTCTTACTGAGGGAGAAGCAGAGTACAGGGAAGTGGTGGCTGCCTTCTCAGACTGGAGTGAGAGAAATGGTCTTCAATTCGTTCAAGACCAAGGAAGTTATCATTAACTTTCACAAGAGAACTTCACATTACCGTCCATCCATCCATCCATTTTCTTCCCCTTCATCCGTTGCCGGGTCGCGGGGGCAGCAGTCTAAGCGGAGACACTCAAACTTCCCTATCCACACACACTTCCTCCAGCTCGTCTGGGGGGACCCCAAGGCGTTTTCAGGCCAGCTGAGAGACATAGTCCCTCCAGCGTGTTCTGGGTCATCCCCGGGGCCTCCTCCCGGTGGGACGTGCCCGGAACACCTCCCCAGGGAGGCGTCCAGGAGGCATCCGATACAGATGCCCGAGCCACATCAACTGGTTCCTCTCGACGCGGAGAAGCAGCGGCTCCACCCTGAGCTCCTCCCGTGTGACTGAGCTCCTCAGCCTATCTCTAAGGGAGCACCCAGCCACTCTGCGGAGGAAGCTCATTTCGACCGCTTGTATCCGCGATCTCGTTCTTTCGGTCATTACCCACAGCTCATGACCATAGGTGAGGGAGGGAACGAAGATTGACCGGTAAATCGAGAGCTTTGCCTTTCGGCTCAGCTCCCTCTTTACCACAACGGTCCGATACAGCGAACGCATCATTGCACACGCTGCACCGATCCTCCTGTCAATCTCACGCTCCATTCTTCCCTCACTCGTGAACAAGACCCCAAGATACTTGAACTCCTCCACTTGAGGAAGGACCTCTCCACCCACCTGTAGAGGGCAAGGCAGCTTTTTCCGGTCGAGCACCATGGCCTCGGATTTGGAGGTGCTGATTCTCATCCCCGGCGACAGTAGCTCAGTTGGTAGAGCATTGGCCTTCAGGCCTGAAGGTCGTGGGTTCAATTCCCACCTCTACACCTTCTCCACCGACTCCCACTGATGACTGCTGTCGTTGTGTCCTTGGGCAAGACACTTAACCCCACTTTGCCCAAAGCCCCCACTGAAAGATCAAGGCTATGCTCACACTCAGAGAGCAGCCGTCCTCCTGTGGACTCACCACCTGCAGAGGGTCAGTGAGGGGCTGGTGCTATGAGACTTGGGTGGCATCTCTGAAGGCCACCCCCTGACCCAGAAATGGATTAAAGGGTAGAAAATGGATGGATGGATGGATGATTCTCATCCCAGCCGCTTCACACTGTTCCACGACCAATGAACCATCAACCGGTCACACTATATGGACAGGACATTGAAGTGATACAGTCATAAAAATATCTTAGAGTCCACGTGGACCACAGACTGGACTGGTCAGCTCAGGCCAATGCTATAAGAAAGGTCAGAGCAGACCCTTCTTCCTGAGAAGACTGAGGTCCTTTGATGTGAGCAGTCAGATGTTGCACATATTTTACCAGTCTGTGGTAGATAGTGCCGTGTTCTTCAGGGTCACGTGTTGGGGGGTCAGTCTGACCTCGAGAGACAGTAACCGGCTTCACAGGCGGATCAGGAAATGTGTCTCTGTGATGGGGAGAAGTGTGGACTCTTTGGGAGCTGTGCTGGAGAGAAGAATAACTCCAGACACCCTCAGCATGACGCCATGGCCGCTCAGAGGAGTAATTGAAGCAACAGGCACTGTGCTGCCGAACAGAACGTTTTAAGAGATAATTTGTTCCCATGGTTGTCAGACTGTACAACAGACCTGAATGAGTTTAAAATATGCACTATTGTTCGGTAGTTAATTAGAACTGTTAGTTAGTTAGTTAGAAATGTTTACAATTGATGTGTTTTTATGGTTGTTATTTTTGCTGCTGGACTGCTGGTATTTCTCCAACGGGGATCAACAAAGTATCCATCTTTCTATCTATTATCGAGTGTGAATATCTGATTGGTGAAGGAGTGACCAGGAGACTAGGAGGTTAAGTATCTATCTGACTGGTTTCTGTCTGTCTGACACTAAAAGCTGTACGTCTTCTGCAGTAGTGGAAGTTAATTTCAGGCCTTCTAATAATGTTATCTGATAGCAAAATGAAAAGTGTTGTGCACTGAGGCTGTTGAGCATTGTTAGTTTTGAGACAAACAAAACATTATGCATTTGGAGTTAATGTGATAGTCTGGAGTTTGTCAGAAAAAAGAGAGAGAGGTACATGATTTGAAAAAAATGACCCAAGCTCCCTCCCCCTTCCTTTCTGATTGGTCTTGAAGCCGCGCCTACTTTTCCGTGCACGCGCCAGAGGAGAGATTATTATGTGAATTTTGAATCAGAATTTATTATACAGTTCCTCACAGCAGCAGTAGAACTCTCCATTGATTTGAATGTAATTTCAAAACGTTCTACTTATCATTATTTCTTGATAACGGACCTCTCAAACCAATAATGACCACTGCCCTTTGGCAAGGCACTCAGTGCTTGTAATTCAGGCGTGTAAAATTCTAAGATTACTCCGGATAGTAGTTTGCAGACTTCGACACTAGGGGCTTTCAGCGCCTGTCACTTATTACTTCTCTCTGAGCGAGAGAAGCTATAGAAGTTAGCCACGCTTAATAACACAAATAAAAATCTATCAAACATTTAAATGTTAATCAGAGAATGCATTATACATATACATTCTTAACACACATGCTCGGAGGTTTTCCGAATTATCTGTTGATGTTTTCATGACAAATATACTGTTTTAATGTGTCAAAAAGTAATCGCGGTAAACCCAGAAGTAACTATTAACATTAGTAGAACATTTTAGGACACATTTGCAGAGGATCTGATAATGGATTGAGGTTGAGTTTATTATTGGGTCATACAACTGAGGGATTTTATATTTTTATCTTTCTTTTTAATGTACTGTGATTATTTATGATTTTAATGCTCTTTTAATTTTAATCTTATTTTGTTCAGCACTTTGAGTTGCCTTGTGTATGAATTGTGCTATACAAATAAACTTGCCTTGTCTGGTCATGATTGACAGCCCTTGGCATCACTTGATTGGTTAAAGTGGACGGCATCTTGGATTTTGAGCTATAGCTAAGATTAGAAAAGGCGGGACTTACCCGTAATATTATAATTCATAAAATGACTTATTTTATATCAACATTGAAGGCCTGGTGGTCAATTTAATACAATTCTTAAAATTTGTAATTTATTTACAGTTCCAGACTATCACTTTAAATTCTGAACTGACAACAGCAGCAACTTCAAGATGTTGGAAGTGTCCCCACTTTTCCTCTTGAACAGTGCTTTATGAGATATCCAAAGCTTTGGAAAATTGTTTAACATAAGCTTCAAACTTCTCAAGCTTCAAACTTCTCCACAACTTCCTTCCTGATCACTCTGGTGTGCTTTCATAATGACTGAGTATGTTCTGCTCTTTTTCATGTTTCAGTCTGAAAGATCTGATCTAAAGACTTAAGTCACAAAAACATGCATTTGAAAACTAGTGATAGAGCCAAACATTTTTGAGAACAATAAGACAGATAATGTATAGCTTTAAACATAGTTTTGCAACATGGAAGAATTTTCCCCGAGCCTTTTATATCATGAATTATATTGCAATTGTGATATGGGGGAATGGGGGGGGGGGGTGGGGGTTGCGACTAGAGGATCAGGACACATCTGGTACAACTCAGAGACTCCTGACTCTTCTGAGGAAGCAGTAGCAGAAACTATCTGATGCTGACCTCGGTGTTTATGGAGCTGACTGAAATCAACAAGAGCTTGAGTCTTTATGAGATCTGCTGTGGAGATCTGTGTCCAGAGTGTGATGAAGTCCTCTCTGTCTCAGACTCTGTGCGGCTGGTTGGAGGCTCTGGTCTCTGCTCTGGATCACTGCAGATATGGGACCAGTCCTGGACCTCGGTCTGTGAAGGGGCCTTGGACCTGCGGGGAGCAGAGGTGCTGTGCAAGGAGCTGGACTGTGGGCCTCCTTCTGTCCTCCAGGGGGAGCTCTCTCCTCCGGGGCCAATATTCCGCTGTGAGGGCCATGAGTCTCGTCTGAAGGACTGTCCCCGCTCTCAGCTCAAACCTTGTTCCTCTGGATCCAGTGTGAAAATCATCTGCTCAGGTGAGAGGCGGTGTTTATGTGAGGGGTGGAGCCCTTTGGCTCCAACTGATGGTTTTAGCCTTTTTTTAAATATTTGTTTTTATTTGGGAAATGTGACAGACAGCTCATAGAACCAGAAATGTATGTTTTGTATAAATCTACACATTTGTGCAACATATGCACCTGCTCTTGGTATTCGTGTCCAATCCAGTTTTTTCAAATTGTCTGAATAGTTGTTGATGTTTCTCAGAGCCGCTCAGGCTGGTGGAAGGGGCCAGTCGCTGTGCCGGGACAGTGGAGCTCAGACACAGAGGAGAGTGGAGACGAGTGACGAATAAAAGAGATTGGACTGAGCAGGACTCAGCTGCTGTGTGCAGAGACCTGGACTGTGGATCTGCTGTTTCTGGAGATCAGAAAGATGGTTTTCCATACAGTCCTGTGTGGCCGATCTCACCAGACTGCACAAAGAGGAAGACCAAAGTGAGAGACTGTATTTCCTCCCTTTTCTCCACTTCTGATGGTGTGGAGGTGATGTGTTCAGGTAAAACTTCATGTTCAAGTCAAACTTCTTGCTTTTGCTGAAGCTGATGTCTCTGTCTCTGCAGACTTACTGAACCGTCCAGTCCTGTCCCTCTCTATGACTGCGGGGGTCTCCCAGGTCCAGGTCTCCCAGGTCCAGGTCTCCAAAGTCGGGGTGGAGGTCGTGCGTGTGCAGTTTGGGTCTCAGTTCCTAGTCCAGTGCTCGGTGAAGCCTCAGTTCCCAGGAGGCTCCTTCCAGCTGCTCTCTCCCTCTGGGAACCACACCCTGCCTGCTGTCAATCATTCTGCACACTTCCTGTTCAATCACACTGGCCCCGCCCACAAAGGAGACTACACCTGTGTATACCACCTACAGGTGTTCAACCACAGCTTCACCTCTGAGAGCAAGAGACTGGAGCTGAAGCTGGGAGGTACGTGACTGCTGCCATTACTACTGCTCCTACTCCTACAGCAGGTGTCCTCTGATTATACATCTGGAGCCGATTGCAGCAGCTGTGTGAAGCCAGTCTGAACTCTTACTCTGGCCTTCAGTCAGTCTAACGTAGCGAATGGAGTTAGTCCGGAGTGCAGCAAGTTAAGTTAAGACCAGTCATTTTGCTTCAACTCGTTCTGGCTCCTATTGATGTTTAAAAGTAACCATTTGTGTCACACTCACCATTGTGGGCTTTTAACATCCATGGTTAAGCGCTCTTTGTGATCCTGGTGTTTATATTGTGTATATTGTGTGTTATTGTCTTTGTAAATCCAGATATGAGCCATGAAAGGATAGAATATTAATTTGCCTTTTTCACTGGGGAAGCTCCAACTTGCCATAGCAACTGTCTTAGAATCATGTCTGCCCCTGCTACGGCCCAATGCTAACCCTGTCGGAACAAATGCCCATATAAGCCACGTTTCCACCGCAAGAACTTCAGAATCATTTTACTGGGCCAGCCCCGTTGGTGCGTGTCTCCACTGCAGGAACCTCTCCCACATGGCCATTTGTAGGGACTTTTACGGGAACCAACGGAGTACCTCCTCCATGATAGGTACTCTGTTGGGCCCTGAAAAGCTCCTGGTGGGGCTTGAGGTTAACCCGGCGCTGATTGGCTAAAGCTAGAGCAGGCTCTGACGCCAGTTAAAAGCACTTACATTGCCGAGAGGTGTGTGTATGCATACCAAACCTACTCGGCCACAGAGAGGCGCTTGCAGTATGTACTGGCCGCCATGTCGGATATTTGTTGTGATGTGCATGTTTGGAACAGGAAATGGTTCATTAACATGCAAAAACAAATAGTTTGTCTTTGTGGAAAAAGTAACTTCAGCTTCAACTAACTATCCTGTTTTCACTGGTGGTTTTGTGTTGCAGTTTTAAACTCAGACCTGATCATTAGAGTCCTGATTATTCTACTGATGAACCTCCTGCTCATCCTGCCAATGTACTACTACTACTTCTACAAGGTACTACTACTTCCAATGTACAACTACTACGACTACTACTACAACTACTTCTACTACTACTACTACAAGGTACTACTACTATTACTGCTGCTGCTGCTGGTTCAGACCTGCTACAGACCTGTCAATGTCTTGTTGTTTCAGCCTAAGTCCAGAAGAGGCGCTAGTGAAATGCCTCAGGACATTATCCCCAAAGATGAGGTCATCACAGACACAATAGAACTACATCAGAGCTTCATTGGAGCTAGGAGAGAGGCGGAGAGAAGAGAAGAGGGACCTGTAGAGGAGGGAGGAGGAGAGATGCCCTGTCTTTAGCGAGACCATGCTTCTTTAAAGTAATTAGTGCACACATTAAAAATGGACAAATATACAATTAATCACTGTACGACTCTGAATCTACAATTCACGACAGAATTCTCTCCACTTGGTTACGTGACACAATCTGGCTGAACTGTAAACACAAATGACCCTTCGTGTTCTGAAGAGGCTCTCACGCAGAGGATCATAATGAACACTTAGTCAGGTGCATTTATGACAATAAACCACCCAACCCTAAACAAAATCTAACCAAAATTTTCTCAGTGGTTAATAGTAGTATCAGACGTACTTAATAACATACTAGATGTTTACCAAAGTTTGACAACCGGAAGGATGTCATTTTCGGCCCTCAAAATTGTTCTGGCCATAAAATGACCTTAAAATAACCAGGAATAGTGGTGTTGTTTTGACAAAGTAATATTTGTCACGTCATCATCTGCCCCATTATTAGTCAATTTCTGGGTCGGGGGGGGGGGATGCTACCCAAGTCTCAGGGCACCAGTCCCTCGCTCATCCTCCTGCAGGTGGTGGGTTCACGGGAAGATGGCTTCTCCGTCATTGAAGACATTGACCTTGATCTTTCAGCGGGGGCTTCATTTGCATATTTGCTTGTCAGATAAGTGATAAGTATAATTTTATATTAATGAAATCCATTTGAACTTAGTGGTAACTTAGTTAAAAACAGGCCCGCAATGTGTAGGCTTAGTAGTACCCCTTTTTGTGCTTTCTTTAGTTCTTTTTTTATTTTTTATTATTCTTTGTTTTTTGTACATTTTATTGTATTGTTTACTGAACTTTTTCATTGAAATGTGGAGTGGATTTCATTATTTTAAATGTAATTATTTAATGTGTTTATTGTAATGTACTGTATTTTACTTATATTTATGTTGCTTGTCATGTATGAAGTATTCAGAAAAGCACAATAACACTAATGATCATTACGCTATAAACATTATTTTCAGATACCAACTCAGTTTTGTAACAAGTGTCGCATTAGGCCATCTCTGACTTCTCCTCTGTGTCCTGTGCCATCACCTAATGTACAGAGGATGCCATAAAAGGGCGTGTGGAATCACAAAGTTTAAGGTGGTCTGTAGATAATGTGTTTTCTGCACTTTCAATATGCTTCACTCAGGCCAGAGAGAGACTAGAGAGAGAGAGACCAGACTGAGAGACCAGAGAGGGACCAGACTGAGAGAGACCAGAGACCAGAGAGGGACCAGACTGAGAGAGACCAGAGAGGGACCAGACTGAGAGAGATCAGAGACCAGAGAGAGACCAGACTGAGAGAGACCAGAGAGAGACTAGACTGAGAGAGACAAGACTGGGAGAGACCAGAGAAAGACCAGACTGAGAGAGACCAGGCTGAGAGAGACCAGAGAAAGACCAGAGAGAGACCAGAGAAGGAAGAGAGAGAGACCAGAGAGAGAGCAGAGAGAAAGACCAGACAAGGCCACAGAGACTCAGTGAGACTAGACAGAGACCAGAGTGAGACCAGACGGACTCGAGAGAGAGCAGAGATACATCAGAGAAAGACCAGAGAGACCATCATTCACCCAGGCCTCTGTCAGGTCAGAGCACAGGGACTCAGCTCCAAATGTTGGTCCTCTTCAGGCAGGTTCTGAGTGCAGTGATATAGACTGAACAGCAGGTGGCGACAAAACACAGCAAACGTGTGTTTTGTAAACTCAGTTTTTGTGATAATTTCATGTTTTTGTTAGTTAGTGATGTCAAGTCCTTGTTTGGGTTCAGTTTTATTCACTGCTGTTCACATTTGGAATTGTTCTGTGCCAAAAACGAACACATAGTTCATTATTATTTAGTTTGCCCAACAGAAAGAGTCCTGAGAGAGTGAAATCTGACTTCTTCATACTCATTATTAAACTGTTTTGTGTAAGAAAGAGCCCAGTGAGTCACTGTGAGTAATATTTATCATGTTTACTGAACTTTTTCATTGAAATGTGGAGTGGATTTCATTATTTTAAATGTAATTATTTAATGTGTTTATTGTAATGTACTGTATTTTACTTATATTTAGGTTTAAATACTAAATACTAATAAAGTATGGCTCAGTACTGCAAACGCCTTTTTGTCTGTTTTTGTTATTATTTTCAAAGTTCTTTTTTTTAAATCCTTTTTACATTTTGTAATTTATTTTATTTAAATGTTGAAGTCAAATGGAAACATTCCGTTCTTTCATTAATTTTTATTGTAACCTTCATATAAATAGGTTTATTAAAGCTACTTTCACAATGCTCAACTTGACATGGTCCACAGGCAGCATACATGGTCCACAGGCAGCATACATGGTCCACAGGCAGCATGCATGGTCAACAGGCAGTGTACATGGTCCACAGGCAGCATGCATGGTCAACAGGCAGTGTACATGGTCCACAGGCAGCATACATGGTCCACACGCAGTATACATGGTCCACATGCAGCATACATGGTCCACAGGCAGCGTACATGGTCCACAGGCTGCGTACATGGTCCACAGGCAGCGTACATGGTCCACATGCAGCATACATGGCCAACAGGCAGCGTACATGGTCCACAGGCAGCGTACATGGTTCACAGGCAGCATACATGGTCCACACGCAGTATACATGGTTCACAGGCAGCGTACATGGTCCACACGCAGTATACATGGTCCACACGCAGTATACATGGTCCACATGCAGCATACATGGTCCACAGGCAGCGTACATGGTCAACAGGCAGCGTACATGGTCAACAGGCAGCATACATGGTCCACATGCAGCATACATGGCCAACAGGCAGCGTACATGGTCCACAGGCAGCATACATGGTTCACAGGCAGCATACATGGTCCACAGGCAGCATACATGGTCCACAGGCAGCATACATGGTCCACAGGCAGTGTACATGGTCCACAGGCAGCGTACATGGTCCACAGGCAGCATACATGGCCAACAGGCAGCGTACATGGTCCACAGGCAGCATACATGGTTCACAGGCAGCGTACATGGTCCACATGCAGCATACATGGCCAACAGGCAGCGTACATGGTCCACAGGCTGCGTACATGGTCCACAGGCAGCGTACATGGTCCACAGGCAGCATACATGGTCCACAGGCAGCATACATGATAGTCCATATCCATCCATCCATTTTCTTCCCCTTAATCCATTTCTGGGTCGGGGGGGTGGCAGTTAGAGCTGCACCCAGTACACTCAGCACCAGCCCCTCACTGATCCTCCTGCAGGTGGTGAGTCCACAGGAGCTGAGATCTTTCAGTCGGAGCTTCAGGCAAAGTGGGGTTAAGTGTCTTGCCCAAGGACACAACGACAGCAGACATCATTGGGAGTCGGTGTCGAGGTGGGAAACGAACCCACGACCTTCAGGCCTAAAGGCCAATGCTCTACCAACTGAGCCACTGTCGCCCCACTGATAGTCCATATCCTTTTTATAGGATTAATTATATGCACCTATATTCTTTTTTTATTATCATTATTCTTACTACTGCAGTTGTTGTTGAAGGATTTCGATCATTTCATTATTTGCAATGAAACTCATGAGAGAAATAGCTTGAATGGATTTCTATCAAATCAAATATTTGTTGTCGATTCAACCTCATCTATCAAAGTGAAGTTTGTGGACCTCTTGTCGTTTAGTCGAGTTCCTGAGTGTCTTTTGTTCTTTAGTGACTGCGTATTACTTTCACTCCTTACTCCTCAGAGGGTGATCCTCTCTTTTTCACTTTTCTGACTGAAAAGCCTAATCTAAAGATGTGACTGAGGCCAGATATTAATTCCAGGAATTTTCAAAGATGGAAATTAATGGGAGTGTTCAAATTAAAAGGTTGGATCTTTGTAGGGAATATACAGTTGAGGAAAGTATATTTTAGCATAATATTGATTTAAACAAACAGATGCCATTTAAATACTGTCACATCAGTGTCATTCCTCCATCACATGCACCGAACACGCCGAACACGCCGAACACGCCGAACACGCCGAACACGCCAAACACGCCGAACACGCCGAACACGCCGAACACGCCGAACACGCCGAACACGCCGAACACGCCGAACACGCCGAACACGCCGAACACGCAGAACACGCAGAACACGCAGAACACACAGAACACACAGAACACACAGAACACACAGCTGCTGCCTGGCTTTTGAGACCACGCCCCTCACCAGCACTGTGCATCACTCACATGTCCAGGGGGTTTCTAGAAGACGGCCACAGATTTTGTCTTATTTTACAGAAAAAGGCCACGTGCCTCATCCATGTGTGGAGCCATTTTACACCAGGACATTTACAAGGGAAGTCTGTGAAAGAATAGTGACACCCAGTACGTGAAGAATCAGATGGGAGTTCCATTAGACAGGAGAAGGAATATATTTCAGCTGTATCAGTCAGATACCCAATGACCTTGGACCAGAGGAGGTTTTTGCACCAGTCACTGACGATGCAGCCAACATGAAGGTTGATACAGGCATACTAGACTTCTAGACAGTTTGGCAAAGTATCAAACAAAGCAGGCCCCCTTGCAACCACAAACACAAGAAACTTTAGAGCCAGGAACCAAATATTATATGTGCTTTCTGCTCCTAACATGTCCAGATGTTCAGTGCCTTCATAAAATACTTAAGAATACTAGAGTAAAATTATATCTTTTTTTTATACTTAAATACAACGAGAAGACGTTTACTTGTTTAGTAAATCAAACTAACCATGTGTTCGTGTTCATGTTTACTGAAGTGTGTAGAAATTTTTGCCAACTCTGCTTTTAATTACACACCGAGTAAATAAGAGGCCATAGTTTAGTGCAGCTAAAATGTTGCTTTTCATGTATGAAGTCCTCTGTGTCCTGTGCCATCACCTAATGTACAGAGGACGCCATAAAAGGGCGTGTGGAATCACAAAGGTTAAGGTGGTCTGTAGATAATGTGTCTTCTGCACTTTCAATATGCTTCACTCAGGCCAGAGAGAGACTAGAGAGAGAGAGACCAGACTGAGAGACCAGAGACCAGAGAGGGACTAGACTGAGAGAGACCAGACTGAGAGACCAGAGACCAGAGAGGGACTAGACTGAGAGAGACCAGACTGAGAGAGACCAGAGAAAGACCAGAGAGAGACCAGACTGAGAGAGACCAGGCTGAGAGAGACCAGAGAAAGACCAGAGAGAGACCAGACTGAGAGAGACCAGGCTGAGAGAGACCAGAGAAAGACCAGAGAGAGACCAGACTGAGAGAGACCAGAGAAGGAAGAGAGAGAGACCAGAGAGAGAGCAGAGAGAAAGACCAGACAAGGCCACAGAGACTCAGTGAGACTAGACAGAGACCAGAGTGAGACCAGACGGACTCGAGAGAGAGCAGAGATACATCAGAGAAAGACCAGAGAGACCATCATTCACCCAGGCCTCTGTCAGGTCAGAGCACAGGGACTCAGCTCCAAATGTTGGTCCTCTTCAGGCAGGTTCTGAGTGCAGTGATATAGACTGAACAGCAGGTGGCGACAAAACACAGCAAACGTGTGTTTTGTAAACTCAGTTTTTGTGATAATTTCATGTTTTTGTTAGTTAGTGATGTCAAGTCCTTGTTTGGGTTCAGTTTTATGCTGTTCACATTTGGAATTGTTCTGTGCCAAAAACGAACACATAGTTCATTATTATGTAGTTTGCAGAAAGAGTCCTGAGAGAGTGAAATCTGACTTCTTCATACTCATTATTAAACTGTTTTGTGTAAGAAAGGGCCCAGTGAGTCACTGTGAGTCTTTTGGCTGAGATCTGAATGTTCACTTTTCTGTCTGAGAAAAAAATGTGACCGAGGCCAAATGTATAAAACTAGTGATGGAAGCAAAGCAAGGAACTATTAATACTGTATTTTTGGTTCAAAAGTTACAAACCTCAGCTTTATAAACACATCCTTTGCAGAACAATGGATTCCATGTTATTGTTGAAAATGTATAGACAAATAAATATTCAACGTGGGTTTAAGAGTGATATGAAATGCGGTGATGTGAGAGGCTGCTGTTACCACGGAAACGGTGAACTCCTTGGGTAAACTCCAGAGGGGGGGGGGGGGGGGGGGGGAGAGAGAGAGAGAGAGAGAGAGAGAGAGAGAGAGAGAGAGAGAGAGAGAGAGAGAGAGAGAGAGAGGAGAGAGAGAGAGAGAGAGAGAGAGAGAGAGAGAGAGAGAGAGAGAGAGAGAGAGAGAGAGAGAGAGAGAGAGAGAGAGAGAGAGAGAGAGAGAGAGAGAGAGAGAGAGAGAGAGAGAGAGAGAGAGATCCGGCCCGCAAAGGAATTATCTTGGCCCCGGGGATGATATTATTATATTATATATAATATAATTATAATTATATATTATATATATTATTATAGTATTAGAACCGGCACAAAGCCATAGGAAAATATTGCATTCATCATTTAATGTTCAGGACATGTGATTTTTCTTTGAAGGAAGTTTTTTTTGTCTGTGATCCTGTTTGAACATGTTTTCTCTTGAAAGTACAGAGAGCCATACAAAAATATTGGATTAATGTATAAATTACGATACACTGTCTTGGTTTAATAGGTTATATGCAATCATTTGTATATGTTTTAGTAAACATTTAACCGGGTTGGCCCAAGAGAGACCATGGAGAAACTAGAGAGAGAGCCATATTGAGAGCAGAGGCTGAAACCAGAGACACAAGAGAGTAAAGTACTTTTATATAGAACTACTATTGCCATCTTTGCTCCACACGCACATTTTAAGACAATGGAGGAGTGTCTTCTCCCGATCAGTCCGGCTCCTTAGAAGGAGCACCGCCCCTGTTCTCTCTCTCTACTCCCCGCGGCTCCTCCTCTGCCCCAGTCCGCTCTGGACGCACTGGAGAGCGGCCGTGAGCTGCTCCCTCTCCCGCTCCTCTCTCCACACACTCGGCCAGTTCAGAGCCTGTTTGCGGGCATCGCTCCATCACTTTCACCGCTGTCTCCCGCTCCTGTCACGCCCCAGTCCCGGCTCCTGTCTGGACCTGGACTCTCGAGACTCCGGACAGCTCCTCACGCACGCCCCAGGTATGTGCACGAGTTATTTATATTTTGTGTAAGAAAGAGCCCTGTGAGTCACTATTTGACTGTTATGGTTTAGAGCTGATTGGCTGAGTGATGGTGGTCCTCTCTCTTTTTCACTTTTCTGGCTGAAATAAAAGGATCTAAAGATGTGACAAATGCACATTCACGTGAAAACTAGTTCTCCCAGGACTCATTCAACTTAAACGTGAGATATATTTGGCCTTCACTCGTTTTAAGGTTGGTAATTGGCTCACAGTTGTAAAAACCCCAAAGAAAATGGTTTGGCATATAGGCAGTGTTGGGCAAGTGACTTCATTACTGTCTTTGAATTGTAAAGCTTTACTCTACTACTGCATTACTTTTAAGTTACTTTCACTAAATATATATGTACATACTAAATGTTGCTTATTATACACATTTTGTTTCCAACAAACTCATAATACTGGGAGTTTTTCCACCTTTGCTGATCTCCTGGTGGCATAGTTACAAACAGAACTTAATTTAATTTTGTGTTAAAATGCAATGTAACGCACATTAATGACGTTTTTACCAAGTATCTTACCCAGGATTATTTTGGAATGCCTGGTGTCTAATGATAAGTCTATTAAGCCCTGTTTCCAGCCTCCCTGGTCTGCTCTGCTCTGCTCTACTCTACTCTACTCTACTGTACTGTACTGTACTGACTCTACTCTCCCCTGCTTGGGAGTTTTTCCATTGGCCGAGCATGTACTAAAGCAGCGACTCCAACCTTTTTTGACCGAAGAGCTACTTTTACAGAACAGAAATGGCAGAAATATTGTCATATTCAAAATGTTGTTTATCTACTACCAAGGAAAACTACAACACTTGTAAAACACCATAAAATGGCCAGAGTGCGGCTGGAAGCCATGGTTACGAAGACATTTCCATGGTGTCTGTTTTTAGTGGGTAGTATTTAGGATACGGTACCAGATACTGAAGCGTAATGGAAACACAACCAGTAGAGTACAGTAGAGTAGAAAAGTAGAGTAAGGCTGATGAAAACATGGCTTTAGTTTCACATTTTAATTTTTATTACAGAAATAAATTGATTTTGATATTCTTATTTGAGAGTTTTACCTGTATAGCAACATGGAGTAGATTGCGTGGTGCCACTGCAGGTGTAGTAAAGCAGTAGTTCAATCTGGAAAGGCTTGTGGCAAAGATTGCATTAGAATACATTTATTGTCAAGATTGCGTGAGTAGACACCAGCAGGCGCATTGATTGGGTTCTAATGTATTTTATTGCATTTGAGCATGAAATGTTAATTAAGCTTTAATAATAATAATAATAATAATAATAATGCATCAAACTTATATAGCGCTTTTTTGGACACTCAAAGACACTTTACAAAACCTTTGGCGATTACACCCCAGCAGGAATACTGCATGACGTCTGCAGCAGAGAGTTTACTAGATTTGATGAGCTTGCCAACCCCCGGGGCCTAGACCCTGGTGGCGAAAAGCTGAGCCGAAGAGATGACATGATTCGGCACTCAAGAGGCGGTGATGGGGAGGAGGTGGGTTGCTGCTTGAACAGCAGAGAACTGAGAGGCTCTGTTTAAATGCAGCCATGTAGTGGTGAGAACAGGTGTGTTACTGAGCAGCTGAGGTTGAGCTCAGGCGTGTAGAGGAAGGAGTCCGTGTGGCAGCATGACGTCTCTTTGGTCTTCTAGTCTGAATATATGCTTAAGTAGTAGTACAGCTACTACTACTACTAGACTACTATTATAGTAGTAGCAGTAGTAGTACACATCCATCATGAGTAATAGTATTACAGTGGGGGTACGGAGAGCCTGTACGCCTTCTTGTACGTTCATAACAGTTACAATCAGTGTGTGGCACAAACCACACACACACACACACACGCATATTTCTTCCTCATAAACTTCTGTGTAGAAAAGCAGATGGCCTCAGACAGCAGCAGATGTTCTTTGCTCAAACTCATATTCACTGACTGAGAAGGACAGAAGCAGCCTCTGTATCTGCCTCCTTCAGACGAGATCAAACTCTTCTTCAAACTCTTCTTCAAACTCTTCTTCAAACTCTTCTTCAAACTCTTCTTCAATCTCTTCTTCAAACTCTTCTTCAAACTCTTCTTGTCTCGCGGCGAAACAATAGAAGGGCTCAGAATAGGAATGTGAATGTGGACCAAGGTAAAAATAAACAAAAACAGAACACGGAATCCAGGAAAACAGGGTAGACAGAGAAAATGGAGCCCCCAAATGGGGAAGAGCACAGGTACATGCGCACAGAGAGAGACACACAGGTACATGTAGACACACAGAGACACACAGGTACATGTACACACAGAGACACAGGTACATGTGCACAGAGAGACACACAGGTACATGTACACAGAGAGACACACAGGTACATGTACAGAGAGAGAGACACACAGGTACATGTATACAGGTACATGTACACACAGAGACACACAGGTCCATCTACACAGGGAGACACACAGGTACATGTACACACAGAGACACACAGGTCCATCTACACAGGGAGACACACAGGTACATGTACACACAGAGACACAGGTACATGTGCACAGAGAGAGACACACAGGTACATGTACACACAGAGACACAGGTACATGTGCACAGAGAGAGACACACAGGTACATGTAGACACACAGAGACACACAGGTACATGTACACACAGAGACACACAGGTACATGTACACAGAGACACACAAGTACATGTACACAGAGACACAGGTACATGTACACACAGAGACACACAGGTACATGTACACACAGGTACATGTACACAGAGACACACAGGTACAGGTACACAGAGAGACACACAGGTACATGTACAGAGAGAGAGACACACAGGTACATGTATACAGGTACATGTACACACCGAGACACACAGGTACATGTACACACAGAGACACACAGGGACACACAGGTACATGTACACAGAGAGACACACAGGTACATGTACACACAGAGACACACAGAGACACACAGGTACATGTACACAGGGAGACACACAGGTACATGCACACACAGAAACACACAGGTACATGTACACAGAGACACACAGGTACATGTACACACAGAGACACACAGGTACATGTATACAGGTACATGTACACACAGAGAGACACACAGGTACATGTACACAGAGACACACAGGTACATGTACACACAGAGACACACAGGTACATGTACACAGAGACACACAGGTACATGTACACACAGAGACACACAGGTACATGTACACAGAGACACACAGGTACATGTACACACAGGGAGACACACAGGTACATGCACACACAGAAACACACAGGTACATGTACACAGAGACACACAGGTACATGTACACACAGAGACACACAGGTACATGTATACAGGTACATGTACACACAGAGACACACAGGTACATGTACACACAGAGACACACAGGTACATGTATACAGGTACATGTACACACAGAGACACACAGGTACATGTACACAGAGACACACAGGTACATGTACACACAGAGAGACACACAGGTACATGTACACAGAGACACACAGGTACATGTACACACAGAGAGACACACAGGTACATGTACACAGAGACACACAGGTACATGTACACACAGAGACACACAGGTACATGTACACAGAGACACACAGGTACATGTACACACAGAGAGACACACAGGTACATGTACTCAGAGACACACACAGGTACATGTACACAGAGAGACACACAGGTACATGTGCACAGAGACACACAGGTACATGTACACACAGAGAGACACACAGGTACATGTACACAGAGACACACAGGTACATGTACACAGAGACACACAGGTACATGTACACAGAGACACTCAGGTACATGTACACACAGAGAGACACACAGGTACATGTACACAGAGACACACAGATACATGTACACACAGAGAGACACACAGGTACATGTACACAGAGACACACAGGTACATGTACACACAGAGAGACACACAGGTACATGTACACAGAGACACTCAGGTACATGTACACACAGAGAGACACACAGGTACATGTACACAGAGACACACAGGTACATGTACACACAGAGAGACACACAGGTACATGTACACAGAGACACACAGATACATGTACACACAGAGAGACACACAGGTACATGTACACAGAGACACACAGGTACATGTACACACAGAGAGACACACAGGTACATGTACACAGAGACACACAGGTACATGTACACACAGAGAGACACACAGGTACATGTACACAGAGACACACAGGTACATGTACACAGAGACACACAGGTACATGTACACAGAGACACACAGGTACATGTACACACAGAGACACACAGGTACATGTACACAGAGACACACAGGTACATGTACACACAGAGAGACACACAGGTACATGTACACACAGAGACACACAGGTACATGTACACACAGAGACACACAGGTACATGTACACAGAGAGACACACAGGTACATGTACACAGAGACACACAGGTACATGTACACACAGAGAGACACACAGGTACATGTACACAGAGACACACAGGTACATGTACACAGAGACACACAAGTACATGTACACACAGAGAGACACACAGGTACATGTACACACAGAGACACACAGGTACATGTACACACAGAGACACACAGGTACATGTACACACTGAGACACACAGGTACATGTACACACAGAGACACACAGGTACATGTACACACAGAGACACACAGGTACATGTACACAGAGAGACACGCAGGTACATGTACACAGAGACACACAGGTACATGTACACACAGAGAGACACACAGGTACATGTACACACAGAGAGACACACAGGTACATGTACACAGAGACACACAGGTACATGTACACACAGAGAGACACACAGGTACATGTACACAGAACACACAGGTACATGTACACACAGAGAGACACACAGGTACATGTACACAGAGACACACAGGTACATGTACACACAGAGAGACACACAGGTACATGTACACAGAGACACACAGGTACATGTACACACAGAGAGACACACAGGTACATGTACACAGAGACACACAGGTACATGTACACACAGAGACACACAGGTACATGTACACACAGAGAGACACACAGGTACATGTACACACAGAGACACACAGGTACATGTACACAGAGACACACAGGTACATGTACACAGAGACACACAGGTACATGTACACACAGAGAGACACACAGGTACATGTACACACAGAGACACACAGGTACATGTACACAGAGACACACAGGTACATGTACACAGAGACACACAGGTACATGTACACAGAGACTCGGGTGAAGCCCATGAGAACAGAGCAGGGGAACAGGGCTGGCGCTTCTCTCGGCTTCCTTCTGTGGTGAATCCATAATCGTCGGTTAGATTTCTGGAAGTGTGGCGTCCATAAATAACTGTTCTTTGTGCAGTCTGACAGCAGCCGTGTGGTTTTCCTCATCAGCTCCGCAGATAATGTTTCCTCCTGGACAAATGAGGTGTGAGTTCAGTAATTAAACACCATTCTTCCAGGTAGAGAGGGAGCGGAATGTCTTGCTCAAGGACTCAGAGCAAGGACACTATATTTACATGAATACATTAAAAAAGAGACCAGAGGGAGAAAAGAGAGAGAGGAGAGAGACCAGAGAAACAGACCAGAAAGAGATCACAGAGAGGCCACGGAAAGACTAGAGAGACCAGAGAGAGACTAGAGACGGACCAGAGAGAGACCAGACAGAAGGACCAGAGACTAGGGGTCATGGGCCGGCGGGATTGTTTTTAACCAAACTGTAAAGCGCTTTATAAATAAAATTTGATTGATTGATTGATTGATTGATAGAGAGAGACCAGAGAGAGACCAAAGAGAGACTAGAGAGAGATCAAAGAGAGACTAGAGAGAAACCAGAGAGAGACCAGGGAGAGACGAGAGAGAGACCATGCAGAAGGACCAGAGAGGGACCAGAGAGGGACCAGAGAGAGACTGGAGAGAGACTAGAAGGACCAGAGACAGACTGGAGAGAGAGAGACCAGAGAGGGACCAGAGAGAGACCGGAGTGGAACAAGAGAGAGACCATAGAGAGACCAAAAAGAACCACTTTTTAACAGACATTTTCAAACATATTTTTCACAAGGACAGAATAGTGCGTGCGTAGTACTTTGAGGCTGGGGGATAATATTAGGTACTCACAGGTACACACTCCGGATCCCAATTGAAACGCCATCCTGTTTTTTGTAAAGTACAGGGAAACCTACTGTGTGACAACAAAAAAGGTCACACAGTTTCAAATGACATAAAGGACAGACAAGGAATTTACAGAAAAGGATGAACTTATTATAATTTACATTTGTTAAGGCTCATTACAATTAGTGTGTTTAAGTGACTCTCCCGGACCTGCCCATTCCACCACTGCACTGTCACAACTTACGGTACATCTGTTATTTTTATTGGCGCTTTTCATTGTAAGAGTGGAAGGACCCCCAGGACCGGCCTCCAGGTATTTGAGCCGCAAATACAAGGTTTGTTTTGGTGGTTTACCGAATATGAAAGCATGTTTATCCACGACCAAGATGCGCACATTCACACACGGACCTAAAGCCTGAGAGTGTCACATCTCCAGAATGACAATGAGCATTACAAAGCGCTTTGGGTGAGCTTGGTCAGTAAAATGCGCTATATAAATAGACATTACTTACTTACAGTCATAACCATGAGATGTGCGTTGCAACTCACCAATCGATGCACCGTGAACCACAACACAACACATAGTCAAGTTATTCAGAGAAACAAAGTCTGGGTTCATATTTGCAGCACGCCATTTTTGTTGACGTCAGAGGAGAGCGAGGCCCGACGACGTTAGAACCTTTTTTTTATTCACTTCTGCTGAATTTGAAAGCAGGTGAACTGTAGACCACAGTGCTACACATGCAACATCCCAAACTTTGACGGCGAGAGCTTCACTCACCCAAACACAGCTCCGCGGCTCGTCACGCTGTCATTAGCAGAGTATCGTTCCTGGTGTGACCTGTGTCGTGTCGAGCCTTCTCCCCCTGAGCCACATGTGAGCAGCGGCGAGAGAACCGTTTGTTTTTATTGTGTCTAAATTACACTTGTATTTGGTCGTAGTGTTCCCACTGAACACGCAGGTCACAGTGTGGGTCAGAGGCCGAGTTGTCTTAAGTAATGGCACATTTTAAGAACACAGACATAGAGGAATATTAGTTGGAGCCGTAAAGATAATCCATTGTAATCCCATGATAAACACTTTAATCTGCATTCACGGACCAGGTCTGTGTGAAGGCGTGTGCTCCAGCTCACAACTTACTGGTCACAACTTTATCGAGTCAAAAACACAACAGACCACAGCCGGGAAACAGGAAGAGCATTTGATTAAAAAACACAAAGCAGATTACATGAGTCTAGACCAACGTCAAAAGCTCTGGGGAAAGAGGTTCAATGCATTTGACATTTTGGATTAGAAAGTCCAGATTTAGTTTGATTCTGAGACTAGAGTTTGTCACAGAGATGACGTGAGGGAAAAGGGCAACGACAACGCAGAGACATTAAAACTGAAGAAGGCGTTGCACCACCTCTCATAAGGCATGCTTTGCCTGTATTATATTATTATACACAAGCGTGCGCATAACTGGTACAGGTACGCATGCGTGAACAAATCGTACTATTACTTGAGTTGGTAAGCGCCAACAGCTTACCAACGACGTTCTGATCCAAGTACGGCCGCTTTGTAATGACAGCGGTTCCCGCCTCCAGCACCTGTGAGCTGCTTTGACAATGACCGCAGCCGTAACGTGTTTACACAATAAAAACACAGCAGCAAGAAACAGAGCTAAATTATAAGGCCTCAGAAAGTGTCCGTGTCTCCCTCATGTCTCCCCCCAAAGCCCAAATGTCCATCCATCCATCCATTTTCTTCCCCTTAATCCATTTCTGGGTCGGGGGGTGAAAGTCAGAGCTGCACCCAGTACACAGAGCACCAGCCCCTCACTGATCCTCCTGCAGGTGGTGAGTCCACAGGGGCTAAATCAAAGCTGGGGCACCTACATTTCCCCTCGCATTAATAATGCATGTTGGTTGTGCCCAAAAGTATAAAATCTCGGAATAAAATCTCGATTAAGAACCACGCGAGAAATGGGGTGAGTACCAAAGACCATCTCCTTGTACTCATCCAAGTACCTCACTGAATTATACTTTACTACTGATGACAGACACACACAGACACACACACACACACACAGACACACACACACACAAACACACACATACACACAAACACACACATACACACACACACCTGAGCTGACAAAGATGTGGAACGTTGGGACAGTATGGTTTTCATGTAGATAGAGTTCCAATTGTTGGAGAAATATCTGTAAATTATGACTAATATCTGACTTACCGCAGTTGCCATAGTTACTGCCTATTTGCAGTAATACAATGTTTGTTCTGACCCACAATGTTTCTACAGTATCTCCGTCTTTAGCGTCAGCGTGAAGTGAAGTCATTAATATCTCCGGTGATGACGCCTCTTATGCACATGGATACAAATCATATAAAGAGCTTTGTCTTCTTTTGCTCTATCTGAAAGAACTTGAAAATAAACCGAGTTACAGGTGCGATCGCTCCTGTCCCTCTCTTTAATTCCCGACAGATTTGCCAAAAATAAAGACCAGGATCACAGAGAGTGCTAAACCACAAACATTCACTGAACAAGAGGAGTTTACTTTTGCATGTAAGTCAATGGGAGCCAGAGCGAGATTGAGCCAAACTTCACTATGAGCACTTCTCTATTGGGCTTCATTGAGCTTGCAGGCTAGCATTGTCCATCTGTGCACAGTGTATGGGGGAGCCTTGACGAGCTTGCCCTGCCCTTTTCTCTCATCACAAGCATCTCTGTGTGGTCCTGGATGCAGAGGTCACGCAATGATGATGAGATTACAGCAGATTACGGCGACAGGCCCCAGGATTCCAACCATCACAACAAACGAGATCAGCTTTGAGGATGACAATGAGTTGTGTTCAAACGTCCGATGGATTTAGAGAATTACAGACATGCTGCTGGTTTGATTAAAGCTGCGGTACGTAACTTTCAAACCACAGCGTTAGGACTCTATTGAAATCCATATCAATATTTTTCATGTTTTTTTGGTGTCTGTCACAGCTTTTTCAGGCATAAAAGGGAAAAGAAGAGGACCACCCTTTGTCAGCCAATCAGCTCTCAGCCCAAAGAGCCAAATAGAGACTTACTGGGATCTCTCTCACAGAAACCATGAGATGAGCGTGTTGTGGTCTGACTTATGTATTTATTTAATTTAACATTTACAAGCTCTTTCTGTTGGACAAACTACATGTCGAGATAAAGTTAGGTACCCCAGCTTTATCCTGGTTTTATCTTGGTCCCTAGACTTCAGACTATCAAATGTATGTAATTCATTATGTCTCCTTATGTTTAGGGCTAAGAAGGTTCTTATCATAACGTGTAAAGAAGCTTTAAGCACTACTATAAGAACCTTCTAAGCCTTGGTTCAGCCCTGGTACAGTCCTGGTACAGTCCTGGTCCAGTCCTGGTTCAGCCCTGGTACAGTCGTGTGCTATTACAGAGGCCTGGGGTTTATTTCTGTCTGCACCTGTGATGATTCAGAGCAGGCCTTTGCATCTGTCACTGCCTGAGATATTATTCAAAAGATGAACTGGCCACGTGTTCACATGAATTAGACCAGAGAGAAAAGAGAGAGACCAGATAAAGACCAGAGACAGGCAAGAGAAGGACCAGAGAAAGAACAGGGACAGGCTAGAGAAGGACCAGAGAAAGAACAGGGACAGGCTAGAGAAGGACCAGAGAGTCTTTCATCTCTTACTGCCTGAGATATTGTTCAAAAGACAAATTGACCGTGTATTAACATGGAGAGACAGGGACCAGAATGAGACGAGAAAGAGACCAGAAAGAGACCAGAGAGACCAGAGAAGGACCAGAGAGAGACCACAGAGAGACCAGAGAGAGAGAGAGAGAGTTGCCACATTCTGAGGAAACTGGACATGCCAGTGTAGTCGTCCAGTTGAGAAGAGATACAAGCAGATGGTTTTTAGACGTCATTAAATCTGCACAATCTGGCTAATATTTCATGAATTATAAAATCATGACAATTTGCTGCTGTTTCTCAAAACAAAATTCTGGAATACATAGTGACTCAAGACAGAGACCAGGAAGACCAAAGAGATCGGGGAGACCAAAGAGAAACCAGAGAGATCAGGGAGACCAAAGAGATAAGGGAGACTAAAGAGAGACTAGAAAGAGACCAAAGTGAGAAAGGGAGAGAAACTATGGAGGGAGATTAACGAGAGAGAGCAAAGAGGGAGATTAGAGAGAGATCAGGGAGACCAAAGAGAGACCAGAAAGAGACCAAAGTGAGAACAGAGAGACCAAGGATACCAAAGAGAGATAAGTGAGAGACCAGAATCCAAAGAGAGACCAGAGAGGGACGAAAAGTGAAATCAAAGTGAGAGTCCTCCAAAAAACGACTGCTGTTGGGATTTAGGAATTTACACAAAAACATTGGATAGTATTGATTCAAATTCTTGTCTCGGGGGCAGGTGCGGCCAGGTGGCGGTGATGCGCTGAGTGTGGGATGGTGGACTCCGGCGCCCCCCATGGTCAGTGTGTGCTGCGCGGGCTGATGAAGGCTCCTTGCGCCCTCTACTGTTGGCTTTGGGTGGTGCTGCTGATGGGAGCTGGATCTCTGCTGCTGCTGTCCACTCTGCAGGAGCTGGGCGAGCCCCGGCCCAGTCCCAACACAGGTACAGCCACAACAAAGTGCCCACATAGCAGCAGGTCACCCACGTCCAGACTGCTCTTCAGGGGACCTGGGACAACAAGGGAAAGGTTGGGGGATTGGTTGGTCCCGTGTCAGCTTTTCATGGAATAAAAGGCTCAAAGCAAACTTCAGACATTCAATAGAAGTCTTCTTATGTTCAAGGACTACGAGACCAGAGAGAGAAACCACAGACAGACCAGAGAGAGAAACCAAAGAGAGATGTCAGAGAGAGACCATAGAGAGACCAGTGAGACTAGAGAGAGACCAGAGAGAGACTAGAGAGAGAGACCAGAGAGAGACCAGAGAGACTAGAGAGAGACCAGAGAGAGACTAGAGAGACTAGAGAGAGACCAGAGAGAGACTAGAGCGAGAGACTAGAGAGAGACCAGAGAGAGACTAGAGGGAGACCAGAGAGAGACTAGAGCGAGAGACTAGAGAGAGACCAGAGAGAGACTAGAGAGACTAGAGAGAGACTAGAGAGACTAGAGAGAGACTAGAGAGAGACCAGAGAGAGACAAGAGAGAGACCAGAGAGACACTAGAGAGAGAGACCAGAGAGACTAGAGAGAAACCAGAGAGAGACCGAGAGAGAGAGAACAGAGAGAGACCATAGCAAGAGACACCATTGCAAGATAGACCATAGAAACATGTCAGACAGAGATAACAGAGAAAGACCATAGAGAGAGAGACCAGAGAGAGAGACCAGAGAGAGAGACCAGAGAGAGAGACCAGAGAGAGAGACCAGAGAGAGAGACCAGAGAGAGAGACCATAGAGAGAGACCAGAGAGAGACCAAGAGGGAATCGCATAATGAACTGCAGCAAGTGGGTCAGAGTCCCAGTTGTTCTGACACTCGCGCCTGTATCTCTCAGCGTGTGAGGAGAAGGCAACATATGGTTTTTGCTCAGTGGGAATGAGGCCTTTGATAAGTTGCACAGATTCTACACAGAGTGCTCTGTGAGGGGAGGCAGGAGCTATAATCAGCTCCAGGTCTGTTTGTGCTGTAACATGGAGGAAAGTGCCTCTCTAACTCCCTGCTCTGCCATTGATTTAAATATCAGATTCTCTTCGTACAAACTGCTGCCTATTTTAGTCTTTGTGGATCGATGTGGAGGACGTCACATCCCAGAGAACATGACTGAATGGACGTCCGTGAACATTTGAACCAAAACAATTAGTCTCTCTGATTTCTCCCAACTCTCTCTCTCTCTCTGGTCTCTCCCTTGTATCTCTCTTTCTGGTTTCTCTCCGGCCCCTCTCTGGTCTCTCTCTATGGTTACTGATCTCTCTCTGGTCTCTCGCTCTGGTATCACTCTGGTCGCTCTCTCTGGCCTCCCCCAAGTGTCTCTTTCTGTTCTATCTCTGTTTTCTCTCTGTGTTCTGTCTCTCTGTTCTCTCTCTCAGGCCTCTCTTTTTGTTCTCTGTCTGGTCGGTGTCTCTCTCTGTTCTCTCTCTGGTCCCCTTCTCTCTGTGATTCTCTCCGGTCTCTTTCTCTCTCTCTCTCTCTGTCTCTCTCTCTCTCTCTGGTCTCTCTGTGTTCTGTCTCTCTGGTATGTCTCATCTCAGAATACGTCTCAGAAACTTGGGCTGAGGTCAATAGTCCCTGAGTTTGCATCATGGTGAAAGAGAATAGAGACAGACTGAAAGGGATGTGTTTTGTATCACACTCTTTAGAAACATATTCACATTTTTTACAACTATAAACTGTACATTAGGAGTGACAGAGTGCGACATCACCATAGTGTTAGCCTTAGCTCAGAAGATGCCGATTTGAACAAAAGCTAGCTGGAGCCAATTTCCTTATATGGGCATTGGTTCCGCAACGTTGGCTTTGGGCCGGAAACAGGGCAGAAGTGTCGCTGAGACGGTTGCTAAGGCAGGCTGGAGTTTCCAGCGTGAATGAAGGCAAATGATTGGTCGATCCTTATGTGGCTCATTTCTGGATTTACAAAGACAATATCACAATAGAAACACCAGGATCACAGAGAGCGCTAAACCTCGAATTTAAACCCAAAATGATGAGTGTGTACTTTTATATGTACGTCAGTAGGAGCCAGAGCGAGTTGGAGCTAAACTTAGTTCATGAGCACTTCCCTATTGGCTTTCATTGAGCTCGCGGGTTAGCATTGTCTATCTATATACAGGCCATGGTACAAACGCTCTGAGTATAGAACCACAAAGCAGAATCTGACTTTGTTTTTTCAGATCAGTTCAATTATCGCTCGTTCACGACTGAAATCTAAACCTTTCTCAAAGTCTGAGCTCTCTGCTGTTTTATTACATCTGCTGCCGAGTCCCTGAGCTGGACCCGTCGCCATGGAAACACAGGTCCACGTTTTCTTTCTTCTCTGTTCCTCGCCACAAAATGGATCTGTCCCGCCATAGATAGAGAAGCACTGCAAAACATTATGTGATGAATGCCTGAATCGGCTGCGGTCATGTGACATCAGCGTGCTCCAAAGAGCGATAGTTTGTGGTGGAGGGCAACCGAAACATGTTTCTTGTTGGCTATTGTTACTGTCTGTGTAATTCCCTAAACAACCCACATGACACAAAAACTGTCATTGTCAGTTGTTATATTTTCTCTCTGGTCTCTCTCTCTGGTCTCTCTCTGGTCGTTTCTGGTCTCTCTCTGGTTTCACTCTGGTTTCTCTCTCTGGTTTCACTCTGGTTTCTCTCTCTGGTCTCTCTCTGGCCTCTCTCTGATCTCTCTCTGGTGTCTCTCTGGTCTCTCTCTGGTCTTGCTCTGGTCTTGCTCTGGCCTCTCTCTGGCCTCTCTCTGGTCTCTCTCTGGTCTCTCTCTGGTCTCGCTTTGGTCTCTCTCTGGTCTTTCTCTGGTCTCTCTTTGGCCTCTCTCTGGTCTCTCTCTGGTCTCGCATTGGTCTCTCTCTGGTCTCCCTCTGCTCTTTCGGGTCTCTCTCTGGCCTCTCTCTGGCCTCTCTTTGGTCTCTCTCTGGTCTCTCTCTGGTCTCGCTTTGGTCTCTCTCTGGTCTCTCTCTGGTCTCTCTCTGGTCTCTCTCTGGTCTCTCTCTCTGGTCTCTCTTTGGCCTCTCTCTGGCCTCTCTCTGGTCTCTCTCTGATCTCTCTCTGGTCTCTCTCTGGTCTCTCTCTGGTCTCTCTCTGGCCTCTCTTTCTCTCTCTCTGGCCTCTCTCTGGTCTCTCTCTGGTCTCTCTCTGGTCTCTCTCTGGTCTCTCTCTTTGGCCTCTCTCTGGCCTCTCTCTGGCCTCTCTCTGGTCTCTCTCTGATCTCTCTCTGGTCTCTCTCTGGTCTCTCTCTGGTCTTGCTCTGGTCTTGCTCTGGCCTCTCTCTGGCCTCTCTTTGGTCTCTCTCTGGTCTCTCTCTGGTCTCTCTCTGGTCTCTCTCTGGTCTCTCTCTGGTCTCTCTCTGGCCTCTCTTTCTCTCTCTCTGGCCTCTCTCTGGTCTCTCTCTGGTCTCTCTCTGGTCTCTCTCTGGTCTCGCTTTGGTCTCTCTCTGGTCTCTCTCTGGTCTCTCTCTGGTCTCTCTCTGGCCTCTCTTTCTCTCTCTCTGGCCTCTCTCTGGTCTCTCTCTCTGGTCTCTCTCTGGCCTCTCTCTGGTCTCTCTCTCTGGTCTCTCTCTCTGGTCTCTCTCTGGCCTCTCTCTCTGGCCTCTCTCTCTGGTCTCTCTCTTTCAGACATCAGAATAATATGGAACTTAGTGAATCTAATCTCCATCAAATACAGATGTGGAACAAAATCAGGACATATTCTTTTTCAACATTCATTTGACAAACAATGGGACAAACCGTTTAATCCACCAGTTTTCTCTACTCTACTCTACTCTACTCCAGGGTGACCGTTCCAGAACCAGTTACTAAATTATAATGATCCCGTCTGAATCGTATTGAATTGAAAGTCCCTTGTATCTACCTATGCATCGTAGCGGCTCCGAAAGACTAAAGAAAGATTTACAGCCACTTATCCATGTGTTTTTGGTGTCCACCTTGTCTCCTGTGAGTGCGCTACAACACTGACATTTCTCAAATATAACAAAAGTTTGCCCTGCTCCTGAGCCCCGTATTATAGACACACCAGAAGACAGGGTTAGGACTCGTCGTGCTGGGTAGTCTCGTTAGCCTTGTAGTTCGGTCCAGGCTCAGTGCATGAATTATAAATAGTATTTTGGTGTTCTCTGGCTCCGGTTACATGAGCCCAGACGCCTGTGTGTTTAGGAGAGACAATGGAAATATCATATCGGGATGTAAGTTTGATACGTCCTCTTTGCTTTCACATCAGGCACAACACAAGAATACTACTGACAACGTTCTGCAGAGATTCTCTCACGTACGCAGTTCTACAAACGTGACTCTGCAGCGCCCCCTGCAGTGGCCAGACATTTTCACTAAAGTCTTTTAATTGCAGCGACTGTTCTATGGTCACTGACTGAGATCAGAGCAGAGAGAGACCAGTGAGAGATCAGAGAGAGAGACCAGAAAGAGGGACCAAAGAGACCAGAGAGAGACCAGAGAGAGACCAGAGAGTGAGACTACATAGACCAGAGACTGAGGCTAGAGAGAGACTAGAGAAAGACCAGAGAGAGACACCTACGAGAGAGACCAGAGAGAGACCAGAAAGAGATCAGAGAGTGAGACTACAGAGAGAGAAAGAAACCAGAGAGAGACTAGCGAGAGACCAGAGAGAGGGACTAGAAAAAGACCAGACAGTGAGACTAGAGAGAGACTAGAGAGAGACCAGAGAGAGACCAGAGAGTGAGAGTAGAGAGAGAGTAGAGAAAGACCAGAGAGAGACACCTACGAGAGAGACCAGAGAGAGACCAGAGATAGGAACTAGAAAAAGACCAGACAGTGAGACTAGAGAGAGACTAGAGAGAGACTAGAGAGAGACTAGAGAGAGACCAGAGAGAGACCAGGGAGAGACCAGAGAGAGACCAGAGAGAGACCAGAGAGAGCCTAGAGAGAGAGACCAGAGAGAGACCAGAGAGACTAGAGAGAGACCAGAGAGAAACT